ATGAGGGGCACAGAGACAACGGGGAAGAATGAGGGGCACAGAGACAACGGGGAAGAATGAGGGGCACAGAGACAACGGGGAAGAATGAGGGGCACAGAGACAACGGGGAAGAATGAGGGGCACAGAGACAACGGGGAAGAATGAGGGGCACAGAGACAACGGGGAAGAATGAGGGGCACAGAGACAACGGGGAAGAATGAGGGGCACAGAGACAACGGGGAAGAATGAGGGGCACAGAGACAACGGGGAAGAATGAGGGGCACAGAGACAACGGGGAAGAATGAGGGGCACAGAGACAACGGGGAAGAATGAGGGGCACAGAGACAACGGGGAAGAATGAGGGGCACAGAGACAACGGGGAAGAATGAGGGGCACAGAGACAACGGGGAAGAATGAGGGGCACAGAGACAACGGGGAAGAATGAGGGGCACAGAGACAACGGGGAAGAATGAGGGGCACAGAGACAACGGGGAAGAATGAGGGGCACAGAGACAACGGGGAAGAATGAGGGGCACAGAGACAACGGGGAAGAATGAGGGGCACAGAGACAACGGGAAAGAATGAGGGGCACAGAGACAACGGGGAAGAATGAGGGGCACAGAGACAACGGGGAAGAATGAGGGGCACAGAGACAACGGGGAAGAATGAGGGGCACAGAGACAACGGGGAAGAATGAGGGGCACAGAGACAACGGGGAAGAATGAGGGGCAAAGAGACAACGGGGAAGAATGAGGGGCAAAGAGACAACGGGGAAGAATGAGGGGCAAAGAGACAACGGGGAAGAATGAGGGGCACAGAGACAACGGGGAAGAATGAGGGGCACAGAGACAACGGGGAAGAATGAGGGGCACAGAGACAACGGGGAAGAATGAGGGGCACAGAGACAACGGGGAAGAATGAGGGGCAAAGAGACAACGGGGAAGAATGAGGGGCACAGAGACAACGGGGAAGAATGAGGGGCACAGAGACAACGGGGAAGAATGAGGGGCACAGAGACAACGGGGAAGAATGAGGGGCACAGAGACAACGGGGAAGAATGAGGGGCACAGAGACAACGGGGAAGAATGAGGGGCACAGAGACAACGGGGAAGAATGAGGGGCAAAGAGACAACGGGGAAGAATGAGGGGCAAAGAGACAACGGGGAAGAATGAAGGGCAAAGAGACAACGGGGAAGAATGAGGGGCACAGAGACAACGGGGAAGAATGAGGGGCAAAGAGACAAGGGGGAAGAATGAGGGGCAAAGAGACAAGGGGGAAGAATGAGGGGCAAAGAGACAAGGGGGAAGAATGAGGGGCAAAGAGACAAGGGGGAAGAATGAGGGGCAAAGAGACAAGGGGGAAGAATGAGGGGCAAAGAGACAAGGGGGAAGAATGAGGGGCAAAGAGACAAGGGGGAAGAATGAGGGGCAAAGAGACAAGGGGGAAGAATGAGGGGCAAAGAGACAAGGGGGAAGAATGAGGGGCAAAGAGACAAGGGGGAAGAATGAGGGGCAAAGAGACAAGGGGGAAGAATGAGGGGCAAAGAGACAAGGGGGAAGAATGAGGGGCAAAGAGACAAGGGGGAAGAATGAGGGGCAAAGAGACAAGGGGGAAGAATGAGGGGCAAAGAGACAAGGGGGAAGAATGAGGGGCAAAGAGACAAGGGGGAAGAATGAGGGGCAAAGAGACAAGGGGGAAGAATGAGGGGCAAAGAGACAAGGGGGAAGAATGAGGGGCAAAGAGACAAGGGGGAAGAATGAGGGGCAAAGAGACAAGGGGGAAGAATGAGGGGCAAAGAGACAAGGGGGAAGAATGAGGGGCGAAGAGACAAGGGGGAAGAATGAGGGGCGAAGAGACAAGGGGGAAGAATGAGGGGCGAAGAGACAAGGGGGAAGAATGAGGGGCGAAGAGACAAGGGGGAAGAATGAGGGGCGAAGAGACAAGGGGGAAGAATGAGGGGCGAAGAGACAAGGGGGAAGAATGAGGGGCAAAGAGACAAGGGGGAAGAATGAGGGGCAAAGAGACAAGGGGGAAGAATGAGGGGCAAAGAGACAAGGGGGAAGAATGAGGGGCAAAGAGACAAGGGGGAAGAATGAGGGGCAAAGAGACAAGGGGGAAGAATGAGGGGCAAAGAGACAAGGGGGAAGAATGAGGGGCAAAGAGACAAGGGGGAAGAATGAGGGGCAAAGAGACAAGGGGGAAGAATGAGGGGCAAAGAGACAAGGGGGAAGAATGAGGGGCAAAGAGACAAGGGGGAAGAATGAGGGGCGAAGAGACAAGGGGGAAGAATGAGGGGCGAAGAGACAAGGGGGAAGAATGAGGGGCGAAGAGACAAGGGGGAAGAATGAGGGGCGAAGAGACAAGGGGGAAGAATGAGGGGCGAAGAGAGTGGTGGAGAGAAATAGGGAAAGGGAAGGCAGCGAGGAGGGACTGGTAAGCAAGGACAGTTTCTCCAGCAGGACCTATTGTATGCTGTTGCTGCAAGCCAGGCATGTGCCGGCATGTGGTCTCCTGCCTGACAGGCACTCGTGCCATGCATTGCATGACCATGGCATGTATCATCCACACAGCCTCCTTGTCCCCTACTGGCTGGTGATGCCATCAACCCTGCCCTTCCAAAACCCACCCATCTCCTTATCTCCACGCGCCCCGCCCCCACCTTCCCCCCCAATGAGCAGGACCTGTTTGCGATAGCAGTGGACCAGCCATTCCGTTTCCCCGCCACCTTCACCTTTGTGCTGCGCGCCTTCTCCACCCTCGAAGGTGCGTCAGCGTCACTGCCTGGGATGGGATGTGATGGGGCCCTGTAGTGTAGCCTGCATTACGTGGATGCTCCTGGGAGAGGAGGAGGAGAGGCGGTGGTGTGCCATGGCACGGGTGGCAGTCCATACAGGGACAGGGGGCTTAGACTACCTGTTGCTTGCACAGCAACAGAATACAGGCACACAGGCACACAACACGAGTATCCACTGAATGCACCTTTAGCAGTCTCACGCCGTCCCATGCTTTCCCACATGCCTGTCCCCGCACCTCTCGTCTCACCTCCCCTCACCTCGCATGGTGCAGGGGTGGGAGCGTACCTGGACCCCAACTTTTCCTTCGCTAGGATCGCTGCTCCCTACGCCCAGGTAACAACCACTGAGAGGTGCCGCTCGTCCTGTAAGTCCGTGGCTCTGTGAGCTGCCTCTGCAACTCTTTGCCGCGAACAAGTCAACTACTTGTCGCAACGAAGCCATCAAGGTGTCCTTTCTTGCGCACATCCGCTGGGCCATCCACTCTGCCAGCCTCTGATCTGAACCATCCACCTTGCCGTCCCGTGCGCGCTCTCTCTCGCTACACGTGTGCAGGAGCTCTTGGACCTGCGGGACGCGCAGAGAGGGCAGGACTACGTGGTGCAGCAACTCACCAAGCAGGCCTCTGAGGTGCGCCCTGCTCATTCCGTCTCACTCAACCTCAATGCTGCTGTCTATCGTGCTGCATTCATGTGTATATGCTCCACATGCCCTTGCGCTTGCACATGCCCTGCCCATGCAATATGCTCGTATCCATACACACATTGCCATGCCATGCCCATGCAATATACTCAAATCCATACCCACAATGCCATGCCATGCCCATGCAATATACTCAAATCCATACCCACAATGCCATGCCATGCCCATGCAATATACTCAAATCCATACCCACAATGCCATGCCATGCCCATGCAATATACTCAAATCCATACCCACAATGCCATGCCATGCCCATGCAATATACTCAAATCCATACCCACAATGCCATGCCATGCCCATGCAATATACTCAAATCCATACCCACAATGCCATGCCATGCCCCATGGCCAATGGCAGGTGACGGATGCGACGGTATCGATGCCGATAAGGGTGCAGCGCATGGACGACCTGCTGCAGCAGATAGAGAACGGTGACCTCAAGCTGCGCGTGCGCGTGCTCGAGGTCAGATCTCATGCCTGCCGCATGCTCTGGTGGACGTCACACCTTAGCGCCCATGTAACTGTTGCATCTTATCTGTTGGAACCACCAAGCTGTGTTTCCTGGTGTCTGTTGCACACTCCTCACTCTACCTCGCATTCCCCCCGCTCCCTCCTCCTTCTCCCCCTCGTAATCCCCGTGCTCGCTACTCCCTCTCCCTTCCCGTGTTCATCCGTACAGGCGGAGAGGGCAGCTAGGAGGGCGGGAATCATGCAGGTGGCGACGATGAACACGGTGGCGGCAGCAGCGCTGCTCAACATGGGTGTCTCCCTCACCACCACCGCCATTGACGGCCCTGCCACCGCCTGCTTCTGCTTCGCAGGTCAGATGAAGTGCCTTTCGTTTGCCCTCCTCACTCTCTCGCCTGCCCTCTTTTTCTCACTGCATTGGGTTTTCCTTCAAAATTCCTGTTGTCACCCTGTAGGCTTCACTGTGCCTGTTGCGAGGACGCAGTTTGCAGCTGTGCATGCTATAATACGGTTTTTAACTGCCCTTGATAGTCACCTATTCTTCTGGGGCCCTGGTGTGGGAGGGGTTGTGTTGTATGGCATGGCAGGTGTGTTTGGCGTGGGGGCGCTGTGGAGCTTGAAGCGCATCCAGCGGCTAGACAAGTTTGAGAAGATGATTTGAGGAATCCTCCCGGTAGTGCTGGCCTCTACCAAGAGAACATAGGTACATGCACGACCTAGGGGCACGGCCGCACAGCCCATGTCGTGTGGGCAGACACACACACGTCATGCATGGATGCATGGCATGTTAGCTCGAGCTTCTCCCATCCGTCATTATGTGGACCCCTCCAATGGCTCCTCCTGGAATGCCAGCGTTTCTCAAGAGTAGTATTAAGCTGAACATTAGGTCAATCCACTAGCATATGTACACGATTGTTCCAACAAGGCCACAAGAAAAGAAAGCAAGAAAGTTCCCCTTGTGCCCCACCATGAGCAGTATGCAGAATGAGGCTGGCAAGCAGAAGAATGCAAGTATGTACAATGAGTGTGTTGTTGCTCCTCTTGCCATGCGTGCTCGCGTCAATCCTCCACGCGCACACGCCCTGCCAGGGCTCCCACGTCGTCAAAGTCACATGTCACTCGGTGCCTCTGGGTATGCAGCGGTGCAGGGTGCACTATGTGCGGGCTCCACGAGGGTGTGCCATCCTCGTACGGGTTGAACGTCAGCCGCTCCCACTGCCGCACATTCAGCTGCTCCTCACCCAACTCTCCCTCCACTGCACTGCCACCACCACTGCTACTACCACTACTAGCGTCACCAGCAACATAGTCACCCCTGCGTTCATTACCAGCAGCAGCCTGCGGTGGGTGTTTCGTGCGATTCAACTGCAGAAGGAATATCTCGCCGTAAGGCTGGAACTGCTGTGGGTATGCTACAGGGTCTGCTGACATGCCTGCCATGTCCGCAGTGACAACAAGAAAGTGCCCGTCTTGGCTGAAGGCAGCGTGGTTGACTCTCCCCCACGGCCCGTTGTGCCACACACGCACCACCCCCTGCTGCTGCTCTGCTGCCTGCTGCCATTGCTTCTCCTGCTCCACCTTCCCAGCTGATCGAGTGTCACCACCACCACCACTAGCAGCACCACTTGCAACAGCACTTGTAGGCAGCACGGCAGGCATGGCATAGAGAGCAAAACCCTCGCTCTCACCGCGATCAGAGCTGAACACGATCCACCGGCCCCACGGGTCCCATGCAGGCATGGTGTCGGTCCATGGCCCGTCACTCACCTGCCACACCCCGCCCCGCTCGCCGTGCTGAGCGGGCATGAGGAAGAGGTTCTTGTGGCCTGTGCGCGCTGACCGGAACACTATCCACCGCCCACATGGTGACGGCGCTGGAAAGGCGTTGTTGCGCGTGCCGGGGAGGGTGAGGCGCCGCCACGACACACCGTTCACTCTGCCACGACCAGTTCTGCTGCTTCTGTCACCACCGCCACTGTCCTCCTCTTCTCTATCTCCCTCAGCCCCGCCCCCGGCCCCTCCCTCAGCCTTCCCCTCCCTTCCTCCCCCCTCCTGGAACAGCCATGCGCCCACTCCTGACACCTCCATCACGTGTACCTCTGCCTCCCCCGGTGCAAACCCCTGCCCCACACTCGTGTACAGCACACCAGGCACCGTGGGGTTCCATGCCAGCCCAAACGCCGCACCCTGGAAAACCTGCTGCTGCACTGCACTGCCATCTGCCGGCACCACGTAGACGCCTGCACTGGGGCCGCTGAGAGCACGGATGAAGGCGAGCAGACGGCCGTCGGGGGAGAGAGCGGGGAAGAGGCCAGCCGTGCGGATGAGCGTGAAGGGCGTGGAGGGCGGCAGGGGCGTGGCGATGGGCTCCATGTAGTACCCGTGACAGTCCGTGCAGTCAGCGTGTGCGCGCTGGGGGGATATTGGTTGCGAGAGTGTGAGGGGGGGTTGCGCTAACAGTGCTCGGTGTGCCTCCTCGTTGTGCGCCCCAGCTGTGTCTTTCTTGCTGCCTGTCCCCTCGCTGCCCTCGGCAACTGGTGCACTGTCGTCCGCTAAATCTCCCTCATCTTCACCGTCTGCACCGGCGCACCGGCAACGGTGGTATGCAACACGTGATCCGTCCGGGGCCACTGACGGCGTGTAATGATTGGCGGACGGGCGGATGTGCTGAGTCAGCATGTACAGCTGGCGCGACGGCAGGTGAAGCAGCTCCACGTGGCGGAAGGGCGAGGGGGGGCGGCGGGTGGTGAGGGCGATGAAGGGACCACACGGGGAGGAGGCAGCAGAGGAGGGCGTGAGGGCGTGCAGCCCGGGAGGTGTGAGGCGCTCCTCCCTGCCCACCCCTATCCATGCCTTTCCTTCCCCTGGACTCACTCCTGCACTCGCAACTGCAGTGGCTCCTACATCTGTTTGTGCCGTGGAAGCTGTGCCGCTGAAGCCATCCTCCTCCTCACCATCCGCCCTCTGCCGCGCCTGTCCCTCATCTTCTCCAGGCAGATTCAGCTGCACCTGGAACACACCAAACCACCCCTCACTGCCCTCCCCCTGTTGCACCCCCTCAGCAGAATCACGGCCTGCTTCCCCTCGCGAACGTACAAGGCGGTGGAAGAGGAGAGAGGAGTCGTCCTTGCCCCACGCCGGCCACCCTCCCTGCGCCACCACTTCCTGCCGATGCTTGCCGTCCGGCAGGCGCATCACGTGGATGGCAGTGGGCAGTGCCAGCAGGTCCCTCTGCTGCATGCCCACTGCGCCACCCGTGCCCATGTCAGCAGTACTGGCAGCAGCAGCGCTGGCATGAGTGTGGTGAGAGGAGTAGCGGGCAGGCGCAGAGGCGACAGCGAGCCAGCGGCCCGAGGGGGAGACGCTGGGGGAGAAGTCAGCGAGATGAGGGGGTGTTACGCAGTGCTGGGGGGGATCAAGAAGGGAGGGGGAGGGGGTGGGAGGAGAGAAACAATGAGCAAGCTAATTGGTTGTTTACTTTACTCTGAGCACTGCATGGAGGGAACTAGAGAGCATCGTGACTGCAGCAACAATAGACCCTACAAACGAACACTTTGGTGTAGGGGGAAGGAGAAACACAGCAAGTGCAAATCTTAGCTGTAGTGGTGCCGTTGCTCCCCATGTGTTGCACGTGCACTGCACTCCAGCTCAACCGTGCCGCATGCCCCTTTCCCGACGCTCCTCCCTCCGCCTGCCCGCCTGCCCATGCACCTGCCATGCCCCCCGGTGCTGCAGAGTGGCCGGGCTGTGTGCGTGCGAAGACGAGATAGGGACCACCAGCTGCAGCGACCATGGCAGGTCGGTCATGCCATGCCACGCCCTGCGTCAACTGCACCGCCTCACACACCCCCTCGCTGCGCCCGCTTCCCTGGACTTCCACTTCCCCCACTCCTCCATCACCTCCATCTCCTCCTTCTCGCCCTTCTGCTCCCTCTCCCCCCTGCCTCTGCTTGCTGCGCCTCCCCTGGCAAGCGCGCAGCACAGCGCCCTGATCCTCCTCTCCGCCATCACCGCCATCCCCCGCCAACATCCGTCTCTCCTTTCCCTTCGCGCCCCCCTGCTGCTTCGCCTGCCCCAAAGCCAGTCTCCCCCACTGCGCCTGCATCGCTTGCACCCCCTTGAGAAGCCCCGCACCATCCTCCCCTTCCGCCACCTCCCTGCCCGCCGCGCGGCTCTTCGTCTCTTTCATTCTTCCTCCACCCGTCACCTTCGCAACCACCTCCTCCCCTGCGACTCTATACTCCGCCCCCTGCGCTAGTTCACAGAACATCACGTTCCCCGCCCCGCCTTCCGCCTCCGACACGAACACTAGCCCTAAGTCGTTACTGCCGCGCCCCTCCGCGCCATCTCCACCCGTGAGCTTCCCCCCGCGCCCTCCCCCTGCCTCTTCGCGCGCCACCTCTACCCCCGTGCCATCGCGCTTGCTCCGCAAGCCCACTGTGAATTGCGCGCTGTGGCTGGCGCTGCCGCTCGTCGCCGTGTGCCGCCGCTCGCTTATCGTCCCCCGCCCCGTCCTCTTTCCCCCACCGTTCTCGCAACCCACAAGCGCTTCGTTTCCGCCCTCCGCCAGCCCCTCCTGACCCCCGCTACCACGTCTTGCGGGGCACCCCACACCTGTTCTGTTGTGTGCACCGCCTTTTATCTTCTCCGTGCTCTCTGCGCCGACGGCGGCAGCGGGAGTGTGGGCGGACCAAAATGGGGACTGTGCAGGCGGGTGGCGGAAGAAGTGGGGCGGCAGCGCGGCGGAGTAGGCGTCGAAGGCGTACTGCGTGCGACCCACCACGGCGAACAGCACACTCCCGCTCGGCCGCATACGCGCCATCGCGGAAGACTCGCCCAACGGATCCAAGAATTCCTCGCTTTGAGCGTGCGTCGTCTCTTCTGCTGCGCGCAAGGATCTTTCGTTTTGCATAGCTAAGTCCAAGTCTACCGTGGTTGGTAAGGACGGGCGTATGCGTGATGCGACAGCAGACATGGGCGGTGGATATAGCTGAAGCAGAAGCAGCAGCAGCGCAGCGGGTGAAGAGAGAGAGGCGAGCATGGTGGAAGAAAACGGAATTTGGAAAATGCGGAATAGGAAGCGAAAGAAGTGCGATGTTGGGATATTGGGAGCGAGGAGTAAGTGTCGTCCATGCAATGAAGCTTACAGAAATCGATACAAGATAAGAGCCGTGGCTCAATTCACTACTGATTTATCTCGCATATACCGTACCCATACGATAGAAGGCACGTGGGGGACACATGGTGCCAATTTATTTGCCAGATGAAGAATGCGATCACTGCTTATGCGATTGGTATAGAAGGATGCACTCTTCTAGAAGCTCCTTTGCTTGCTCAACAACCAACTGAAAAAACCCAAACATTTCTGAGAATGTCCTTGGTTGTCATGTACTACCACACTTGGCACACCAGGTACGAAAGCAGTATAAGTAGACAAGGCAGTGGAGGCTGCGACATGAAGGGCAAAGCAAGGTGCCTCCTGCAGGTAGTGTGATGGGAAGCACGATTGACGGCTTGCTCAACTCCTTCGTATCTGCACGGCTCCAGACTTTGGGTCATCATACATGGCGCGGACCTTGGTGTAAAGGCGCAGACGAGCCGTGCACAGGTCTGGCTGGACTGCTTTCTCTTGAACTTGGTCAACCAAATCCCTGTTGAAAAAAAGGAAGAGAATGAAAAGCCACATACCTAGCCAGGAAGAGAATGCTAGAACATGAAACGAGCCGGAAATGCGGGAGTGGTTTAAAAGCATCAAGCAGAAAGCAGTACCAGAGGTGCACGTCGCAGCAAAGGCCTCCATTCAGTAACATGCTGACGTCGCATGCGGAGCACCAGATAGCATGATGGAGAAGGTTCAAGCGAACAGAGGGGTATCCATCAGTCTCGAACAGTAGCGGATCTTGGAACCCCGGTGGCACAGGAACAGCAGGAACTGGCCGCAGTTGCCGCACGAGTGGCGGACACGCGACAAAGGAAAAAGAAGTGCGGGTGGTGGCTGCAGCAACACCGCTACGAGACGTATCCCCGGCCTTGCCGGCCTTGCCGGATGCATTTCCATTGGTAAGTCGCACACGGGTGTCCAGTTCACTCTTGAGGAAGTCAAGAGTGGAGGTGAGCGAAGCCAGGTCGTCGTTGCTGAGTTTTGGGTGACTCTGTGCTCACAAAGGCATGAGGGTAGACAGTGGCCACGCGGGCACGTGAGAATTACACTCCAATGTAAGGAGAAAACGTTTATTCATTCCTCTTAGCACGGTACCTGGAGTTGCTTGTGCGCCAGGAGCAGCAGGACTCGCGAAAAATCTTTAGCATCCACGGATTTCAGCTCAAAAGTATCGACCGAAATGTTTTTGCGACCTTTATCCCTCTCCTCCGCGTCATCCGCGCGGGTGCGGGGAGCAGCGGAGGACCAGCGGTTGCTGAGCAGCGAGGCGAGGAAGGGCGAGTGGCGCGAGAGCAGCGACGCGTTGCAGAGGAACTGCGTCCTCTCAGGGCCCACCAGCAGCGACACCACTCGCTCGCCGCCCACGTTCACCGCGCCAAGCCGTCCGTGACCGGCGTCAGATAGTGACGACCCGACTGTATCCATGGCTGAAACGCGTCACGCCGGGTTCCACAGATAGCTCAGCAACGCATGCACGCACTTCGATATTACAATGTGAATGAAAAAGAGTACTGAGGATACAAGTGAAGCGTCGGTCCAGACGAACAGATGCAATGGTTGCCATGAGTCGTGCCGCATTTGTCGACGAGAATGGTGGGTGGTGGAAGTCACAGCCTGATTCACAAGATGGGACCACTTCGGCCCTCAGACTTTGCTACTAATACAAGACATGAACGATTCGGTGACGCAAGCGGAATTTGCGGCTCATTGGCAGGTTCGATACTGTTCTCAAGTACACGTACTCAACACAGAGCTCTAGAGAGTTTATGCCAACCCCCTGCCTCCAAGAAATCTAATCCCTTTTTTCTCCAGCAACGAAGGGAAATTATAACTTAGCAATAGGAGATTTGAGACCACTTTTCTAAGACCAGCTGTACAAATGAATGCACTCTTCCAGAAGCTCCTTGGCTTGCTCCACCGCTAAATGGAAAAAGAAAGCCATGTCTGGAACGGTCTGCGGAACCCACTTCCACCCACAATCCGCGCACCAGGCCGAGGTTCGGAACAGGTACACCAGGCAGTGGAGGCTCCTGCACTGTGGGCAATGCAGGGAACCCCCTGCAGGTAGGGTAACAGGAATCACGAGCGACTGGATGGTAAGCTCCTGCCGTATCTGCACCGAGCCCGACCTCTGGTCATCATACATGGCACGGAGCTTGGCGTAGAGACACAGACGCGTGGTGCAGAGATCAGGCTGGACCACTTTCCGCTGTGTCCGGTCCACCAAAGCCCTGCAAACATAACGGACCAAATACTACATTCAGAAAACCACACCAAGACAAGGCCAAAAGAGAGTGACAAAACCCTAGACGCATACCAGAGGTGTCCATGGCCGCAGATGTTGCCACTCCTGAGTCCCTGGCCGCTGGCCCAGCAGATGGTGCAGAGGATGGCGTGGTGGCGCAGGTTCAGGCGGAACTTGGAGAACTCATCGGGCTGTTCGAACAACAGCGGGTCATCGCACCCTGGCGGTACGCGCACCACAGGCAATGGCTGCAGCTGCCGCACCAGAGGTGGGCACGAGAAGGAGGTCAGGGACGCGTTGCCGGCGGCTGCATTTGCGCTGCTGGAAGACACTCCTCCCATGTTGGAAAGATCTCTGGCAGCGTGTGCATTGAGCGTGTGAATGTCCACCTTGAGGAAGTCCAGCGTGCCTCGAAGCGAGTCCAGCTCCTCGTTGCCCAGATCTGGTTGACTCTGCGGGAGAACGCACAGCGAAGGTTGCAGAAATGGATCAAAGCGGGGCCTTGCTACCCACGTCGGCAGGGATCACAGGCAAAGACGAGAGCTTGCTGCTTCTACACGCAGTAACCGTTGTCACTGGCTGGCTATGGAAGGTACCTGCAGTTGTTTGTACGCCAGAAGAAGCATCACGTGCGCGAAGTCTCTAGCATCCACGGAGGCCAGCTCCCAGCTGCTATCCGCTGACGCACCACCTCGTATATCCCCCCTCCCCTCTCCTTCTCGCGCAACTCCCTCCGCATCATCCGCGCAGGTGCGCGGAGCAGCGGTGGACCAGCGGTCGCTGAGCAGCGAGGCGAGGAAGGGCGAGTGGCGCGAGAGCAGCGACGCGTTGCAGAGGAACTGCGTCCGATCGGGGCCCACCATCAGCGACACCACTCGCTCGCCGCCCCCGCTCAACGCCTGCTGCGCGCCGAGCCGTCCGTGACTGGCGCCCGATCTTGGCGGACTCTCCGAATCCATGGCTGGAACGCGAATAAGCGCCACCTGCTAGCTTGGCTTGCACAAAACCAGTGACTGATGGCTGCAGTCGGAACTAACGAATTCATGCCGAGTCGCATGATTACGCAACGGCGGACACTGTTAGGAAGTGAAGGCGACAGCGGGAGCGAAAGGGGACCCGCGACAGAGCCCAGTGGCAGTGCCGCCATGGCTGCTCCGAGCGCGGTGTGATGTGATGTGTGCATGGGGTGGTGTCCACTTGGCATTCCTGTGTCACGGCACGTTGAACTGGGAGTTGCAGTTCCGCATGCGAGAAGCATGTGTGCGGACAGGCGAAATTGGATGTGCATTGTAACGCAATATTTGAGTGTATTTTTGAATGTGCTTTGAAGGTATTATCATTGTACACTCAAGATTTCCCAATCGAGGATACAACAAAACCATCCATCACCAATCATATCCGCACAGCTATTGGCGCAACCGCCAGCGGCCTTCCGCCTTCCCCCAATCTGAACCATCAACACCTCATGGGGGGCCAATTCTTGCTCTGCCACCCAGTTAGTTCCACAACCCTCCATCTAATCTTACAGCGCGCCCACCATGGCTCTTCCACCAACTGCGGTGCCGCCAATCATGGCGCCATGCGCGAGTCCGTGCGGCGACGGTGTGGTCGACGTGCTGGGGGCGGAGGTCACCGTCGCGCTCCTCGCATGCCTCGACGCTACTAGCCTTGCGCGCTGCGCCGCTGTCTCGCGCTCATGGCGGCGCCTCGCCACGGACGACACTCTCTGGCTGCCGCTATGCCGCAGCCTTTGGCGCTCCAAGGCCTACGTTCCGCGCCGCTTTAAGGCGCTTCTGGATGAGCCTCCGAAGCGGGCTGCAACGGCCACTCGTGTTCCGTCGCGCTCGCCGACCGCGGCAGCCCCTGTGCGCGCTGGCGATGGAGCGGGAGGGCGGTCCCTCGAGAATAAAGCGGAAGCGGTTGCGGATATCGAAACTCAACCCCACCCAACGACGGAACGCGACTCGAATGCGGATTCCAATAATTCGGAAGTTTCGGAGCCGTTCTCTTGGGCGGCAATGTACAGGCAATCCCTAAGCGAGGGAGCGAGGGAGGGGATACTAGCGGAGGAGCTGTGCAGCGTGACGTGGAGCTTTCGTTTCAAGCACATGGACCTGCCGTGGATCAGGAACCATCCGTTCTGGGTGAACCTGCCGCCGCTGCTCCGCCGCTTCCACGCGGACGGCAGCGTGGCGTCCGGCACGCGCAACGACCCCATCTTCGGCTCGCACGAAAACATCTGGCGCTTCGTTCCGCACTCGATTTCTCCAGGGCCTCCTGCTGCTCCGTCTGCTGCTGCTGCTGCTCCTGCCTCTTCTTCAGGTGACGGTACGCGGAGCAGTGAGGGCGGCGCTGGGGGGAATGGCGGGCAGGGCGGTGGTGAGGGCGAGAGTAGTGTTCAGGAGAGAGCAGCGGGCGAAGCAAGGCCAGGGCTGGGTGGAATGGGGGTTGCATGGGCGATAGGAGGGGGAGGGGCTTACAGCACTTGTGCCACTGGCGCACCCACGGCACAGTCTGCTGCGGCTGCTGCCGCTGCTGCAGCCCCTGTGGCAGCGATGCGAGTGCGCATCAACCACTGGCCGGCGCTGACAGTGGTGCGCAGGGCGGACTGGGGATGGGACATGGCCAACGAGTATGTCATCTACTGCAGCCTCCCGCCCTCGCCCTGATGCACGCCTCTCCTGCCCACTGCTCCGCCAGGCCTTCTTTATCCGGCTCAAGTGTGCCTCCTCGCCCACTGTCCCTCCCATGCCTTTTTTTGTCCTTCACTTGCTTCAATAAAGGGTGTGCACTGATGTGATGTGATGAGCGACGCTGTGTAAGCAGTGCCTCAGCTCAGTACGCATTAATGCCCCGATACGGTAGAATATTTGCTCGACTATTGTTTACCTACTGTATGATTCTGTACCATGCAATAAAGTGCAACACCAATGAACCATAAACTACGGTACAAGAAAACTGCTTGTAGTCTGCGTACTAAGCACTACTCTTACTGGTCTAGTGAAGACAAGACCCTGAAAATGAGTAAAGTGGAGTCCTAGTGCCTCCCTCGCTGCAAGGACTACCTAGTGGGGGCACACACCCAGGTCCACGCCAAACCGTCACCATCTAGCTGTCTGTCACCTGCCAGCCAATAACATTAGGGTACACTAGAAAATAACCCACGGCCTGTCACAGAAGAGAAGAATGCCCTGGTTCATTGGGAGGGTGCAATGCAAATCCCATGCCACGCCCCGCCCCGCCATGCCACGCCACGCCCAGCACCCTCCCCCGCGTCACTGCTTGAGGTATTTGAGCGCGACCTGGCGGCGCTTGAGCTCGTCGTGCGGCACGCCCAGGTCGCCCGCCAGCATGAACGCGGAGGAGCCCTTGTACCGCGCCTCAAACACGCGCAGCCGCGTGCCGCTGCCCGTGCGCGACGTGGACGCAAGGAAGTGGTCGGGGCGTGTGACGGGCCCGTGGCGCAGCTGCGCCAGGATGACCGCCAGCAGGAATTGCAGCCGGATCTCCGCTCGCTTCGTCTCGTCCAACCCGTCGTCCACGTCCGGTGGGGACTGGGGGTGGTGGGAGTGTGTGGGGTGTGGAAAAGGGGAGGAGGGGGGGGGGTGTGGGGGGAAGGGACGAGTGGAAGGGGTGGGCAAGTAGGGGACGGATAAAAAGGGGGGAGGGGGGAAGAATACTTTCCAGGTTGGAAGGACAGTTGGTCGGGAAAGAAGAACATATGTGGCTATACTCTTGTGGGAGGTGGACAGAATGGGAGGGGGTTGGGCTGAATCGGGGGTGTGCGACAAACTAGGGGTGCAGTGGGGAGGAGGCATGGTTACCGGGGTGATGAGGTTGGGGAAGGAGGCGAGGAGGCCGGAGCGGAACATGGCGGCGAGGGGCACATAGTCCACGTTGAGCGCCATGGCCACGCCCACCGTGCGCATCAGCAGCATGTACTCATGCACACGCTCACTGCTCGGCGTGTTGCGCCGGAACTCGCGAATGGCGTCGCGACAGGTGTCGTCGATGTTGCAGAGGAAGACCTCGTGCTCCTGGGTGGCGCGGTCGGAGTCGTCCCCCGCCTCGGACAGCAGCGTGCAGTCAAACAGCAGCACCAGAAGCGCCTCGTACGCTCCCAGTGACCCCGCTGCCTCCGCTGCCGTTGTGCACCCCAGCCCTGCACGCAGAGAGGGCGAGAGGGACGGCAAGGCGGGGAGATGCGGAGGGGACGGGGGATCCACAAAGGAGACCCGGCAATGCAAGGATGAGGCGGGACAAGCAAGTGGGAGGGAAGAGGGCATAGGGGAGTGGGGAGGCGAAGGAGGCACACAGGACGCCACGTGTGCGGCATTTGAGACCCACAAGACCCAGTGCAGAGTGCCTGTGTGTGGCCCGTCCCCTGCATGCACTCACCGCTGGCCCTCTCACACTCCTCATCCGATGGTGCCCTTGCCAGCGTCTGCATGAGCGACACCGCCGCCGCTGCCCGCCTGCCAGCCAGCATGTTCCAGATGCGACAAACCATGCCGCCCTTGAGCGCGACCGTGGAGAGCGTGGACACATGCTCGTGCGTGAAGAAGAGCAGGTCGTTGGCGTCCGCATCGTATCCCCGCACCGTAGGCGGTGGACCACACGAGGGCGCCACGGGCACGTCAGCAGCAGCGCCGGGCGCAGCAGGTGGGGCAGCGAGGGGGTCGCCCAGCCCAACAGCATGGCCCCAGTGGCGGCAGAGGTCCATGGAGCGGTGCGCGCCCAGGATGTCCGTGTGGCACGCGTCGGGGAAGCGCACCAGCATCTCCTTCAGCAGCTCCACCGCCTCCTCCACCTCCTCGCGCTCCACGGCCTCGTCTATGGGGTCGCGCACCGCCTCCTCCTCCACCTCCCCGTTCCACGACTCCTCGTACTCCCCCCCGCCCTCCGCCCACTCCTCCGCCTCCCCGCCGTACCCGCCTGCAGCGCTGGCCCTGGGCTTGGCGGCGCCGCGCTGGCCGACGCGGCCCATGATGCGGTGGCGCATGCCGGTGCTGGCGTCGTCATCATCAGGCAGGTCGGGGTCGTCCAGGTCGTCTATGGATGATGCCGCCATTGACTCTCCTGCCAGCAGCAGCTTGCGCGCGCGCAGCATGCTGCTGCCCTTGTGCACCGGCTTCCTCCCCGTGCGCTTCCCCAGCGGCCCGCTGTGCCCCTTCCCACCACCGCCACCGCCACCGCCACCGCCACCACCGCCACCGCCATCCCGCTCCCCCGCTCCCCCACTGCCCCGCCCGCCCCCCCCCCCTGGGCGCCCTCCGCCCTCAGAGCCCCCCTGGCGCCAGTCACTGCCGCTGCCACTGGTGGAGCCCCTGGGACTGGCGCCGCTGTGCCCGTCCACCGCTGATGACGCGTCCTCCTCCCCACCCCCCCTCACACTGCCACTGCCACCCCCCCCACTGCCCCTCGCATCGCCCCCTTCACTCTCGCTCCTCTCCACTCCCCCTCCACTCCCACTCTTCTCCCACTCATCTCGCCCCGACCCCGACCCTCCTCCCCTGCCGCCGCCCCTGTCCCCATCCCCTCCGCCTCGCCCCCTGCCCCCCCGGCTGTTGTGCGAGCCGCGCCATGACTCCGTGTCACCCTCCGCACTGCCCTCGTCATTCGCCCACTCGCCCTCCTCCTTCCTCCGCGCCTCGCCCACCCTGCTCCCCCGCACATCCCCCCACCGCCCCTCCCGCCTCCGCCGCCCGCGTTTGGCCTCCTTCCCCCCCTGCCCCGCCTCCAACTTTTTCCCCTCTTCCAGTAGGCGGATACCGAGCTGGCGGGCGGAGGAGGGGCGGCCGATCTTGAGCAGGGAGCGGTGCAGGTGCTGCACCACAATGGCGGACGGCGAGATCAGCAGCTGCAGCTTCGCCACCCACTGCGCCACTGCAAACTGCCCCACGTCTGCTGCTGCCGGCACGCGCGGGCGTGTGAGGGGGTAGCCACGCGCGGTGGAGAGCTTGCAGATGTGCGCGAGGGAGCGGCCGAGGATCCATGCGTCGTCCACCCTGTTTGCCAGCGCCAGCCACTGCTCCAACCCTCGCTGTTGCATGGAAAGGGGGGGTGGGATGAGGGTACGCGGAGGGGAGAAGAGGGGGGAAAGTGGGAAGGTGGGGAAGGAAGATGATTGCGAGTGGATCAAACTGTAATACACATGTACATGTGGCTTTCTGGAGGAGCACGAGCATGATGGCGTGCGCGCCCACCACAGGGCAAGTGGAACAAAGAGCGCACCTCGATCCAGGTCTCTTCACGGGCCAGCTGCAGCCACTGGTCGTCCAGCTCCGCCGCCTCCTCGTCCACCCCCTCACCCTCCTCCTCGCCCTTCCTGCGCCGCGGCCGCCGCTTGCGCGTGCTCATGTGCCCCTTCATCAGCGCGGCGGCCAGTTGCTGCAGGTCCTCCTTGCCCACCTGTGCGCACAGCCGCGCCAGGAACAGCCCCTTGGCCACAGCCCCCGTGTTGTGGCACCACACGTGGAACAGCGGGTACCGCCCCCCTTCCGGCGCCTTCTCCAGCTTCTCCCTCGAATCCGCCTTCCCCACCCCGCCGCCCTCCCCTCCCATCACCGCTCCCCCTCCTCCTCCCTGCCCCGCCTGCCCCGCACCCCCCCCCCCCCCGCCACCCCCTCCCGCGGCCTTCCCCCCATCTGCCCCAGGAGCAGGCCGGCCGTGCACGGTAGCAGCAGCGATGGCCGCAGGGGTGAACTGCCAGCCGTCGGGGAGAGCAAGGCGGGCTTCAATGTCAGGCATGCGGCCGCTGATGCGGTGAAGCACGTCCATGAGCATGTCTAGGTCCACGGACAGCAGCTCATCCACCTTCACAGCACGGAACCACAGCAGGAAGAGGCTCTGCCAGTCCTCCCACGACAGCCGCACCACGTCCATGATCTCAAACAGCCGCCGCACGCCCGCCTCGCCCTGCAGTATGCCGCCCATCACGAATTGCGCCAGGGCACGCAGGTCTGCCGGCTCGCTGCCTGTGGCCAGCCACATGCCAAAGCCCTTGTCGTCGCCGCGCGCGCCGTCGCTGCCCCACCCAAACAGGTCGCCCTTCCTGCTCGCCTGCTTCTCCTGTTGCCCTGCGCCTGCCTCGCGCCCCTTGCCGCCGGCGCCCGGTGCGGCCCTCTGCCTGGCCTCGCGCGTGTCACGGGGGTCCCACGACGGGTCAAACGAGAAGGCACGCAGGAAGTCAGTGGACGTCATGGGAGGGGGCGGACTCTCCACCGCGTCATCCCCTTCCTCCGCTCCATTCGCCGCGGGTGCACCCGCTGCCTCGTCCCCTGCGCCTTTGCCCCCCGCTGCCCCTCCCCCGCCCACCTTGCCCTTGCTCTCCATCCAGAGGTAGTTGCACTCGCTCTCGGACTCACAGAGGGAGATCCACGCGCCCAGGTCCGCCACGAGCGCCTGGTACCGCGCCTTGCGCTCCTCTGACTCCGCCACCAGCGCCGCCTCCTCCGCCTCGCTCACCTTGCCCCCCTTGCCCCGCACGCGCCGCCACCGCCGCCAGCGCCGCTCCCACCCCATGCCCGGGCCCCTCTCAGGCTCCACGTCTAGGTCCAACCCATCGTCCTCGCGCGCTCGTGCGTTGCCGCCAGCGTCCTGTGCGGCGTGGGGGTCGCGCTTGAGTTTGATGAAGACCTTGAGCAGCAGGCGCTGCCAGCGCAGCACGCCACAGCGCTGCTCCAGGTACTGCAGCAGCTTCTCATCCACGCGCCGTATCTTCCTACCGCCCACCCCCACGCCCGCCACCACGCCCGCTGCTGCTGCGTGCTTGGCTCGCCCAGGGGAGCCCTCTCTGCCCGCCCGCTCGCCCTCGCCACGCCCCTCGCCCCTCCGTGCGCCCCGCTCATAGTCGCCCTCCCTCTCCCTCATGCTGCCCTCCCTCTCCCTTATGCTGCCCCTCTCCCTCTCCCGGTCCCTGTCCCTGTCCCTGTCTCTGTCCCTGAACCTATCCCTATCTCTATCCCTTGTCCTGTAGCCATCCCTGTCCCTATCCCTATCTCTCTCCCTGTCTCTGTCCCTCTCTCTGTCTCTGTCCCTGTCCCTGTCCCTGTCCCTGTCCCTGTCCCTGTCTCTTTCTCTGTCCCTATATCGTTCCCTATCCCTATCCCTCTCTCTATCTCTATCCCTATCTCTATCCCCCTCTCTGTCCCTCTCCCTATCTCTGTCCCTGACTCTATCCCTATCCCTGTCCCAGTCCCTATCCCTCTCCCTCTCCCTTTCCCGCGGCCTCTCCCTCTCCCTCTCCCTCTCCCTATCCCTCTCTTGCACTGCGCCCTCCCCACCACCACCGCTGTCCGCCTCTCCCCGCTGCCCCAGCCGGTTCCACATGGCCAGGCCCCCCGACAGAAGGCTCGACGCACCCTCCAGCGCTGCTCTCCCCAGCCCGCCCTCCGCCCCTGCTGCTGCCCCCCCCCACTCCCTCCTCGCCCTGCTGCAGCGCTGCCTGCTGCTGCTGGCGCAGGGCGAGCAGCCTCTCTGTTTCGAGCACGTGCTTGTTGTACGCCACGCACTCCTCCACACACGTCAGCACGTCCTCCATCACTGCCAGGTGGCACTTCTCAGGGAGCGCAGGGCGCGTGGCAATGAGCAGGTCCAGCACCTGCAGCTTGCGCACGGGTGACGTGAGGGCCGCCGTGAGCTTCAGCAGCAGCACCTGCTCCTCCTCGTCGTCCGCGTCCTTCTTGCCCTCCCATCCAAACGAGCTGCGCATGCGCAGAGACAGCCGCCCCTGCAGCTCCTCCTCCTCCTCCTCCTCCTCCTCCTCCCCCTCCTCCTCCTCCTCCTCCTCCTCCTCCTCCTCTTCCTCCTCATCTTCCTCCTCCTCGCCATCCTTGCCTGTTGATTCCTTCAACCGACTGCTCTTCCCCACACCGCCCGTCTGCCTTTGCTCCTCCCCATCGCCTTCCTCCGCTTCATCCCCTTCCAAACCCCCTTTGCTCTTTCTCCTCGCCATGTCCTTCCCATCCCTGTCCTCCTGCACCTCCTCCTCCTCGTCCTCGCTGACCTCACTCAGCCCACTCTTCTTGCCGCGCTTCTTCTTCCCCCCTTTGCCCGCGCCACTGACAGCAGCGGTAGCGGCGGCCTTGTGCTGCAGGTGGGTGAAGGCGGCGATGGCAGCGGCGCGGGAGTTGCGTTTGAGCTTGAGCAGGTCGCACAGCCGCTGGAAGATGTCGCTCTCTGTCAGCGCGCCCCCGGGGCGTGTGCCCACGTCCGATGGCGTGTGGTGGCTGCCACAATGCAGGGGGGGGGGGAGGGGGAGAAGTGGGAGAAGGGGGAGGGGGAGGAGGGGCGGAGAGGACAGGGGTGATGTGGGATTGGGAGGTGTGAGGTGGTATGCGGGTGATTCTTATCCTTGGGTGCCTTCATGCAGCACATGGGTGCATGCATGGCTCTTGTGCCTTTCAGCGCACGCAGTGGGTGAGGAGTGAGAGCACATGCAGGCTGAGCCAAGCCACGAATTGACTGCGAGGGAGCTAGTGGGAGGAGGAAAAACGTGTGATCTCACACACACAACCACATGCGTACATCATGATTGAAACCGCACCTTCCCGTGAGCGAGACAGTTGGCACGATCTCCGACACCTGGCCTGTGTTGCCATGCAGGATGAACGCACGGTGCCGCTGCCCATACACGCCCTCCGCGCCCGCATGCGCGCCTGCGCTGGCAGCGGAGGCAGAGGAGGAGGAGGAGCCGTGCAGCAGAGACGAGATGCCCTTGGATATGTCCAGCGAGTGTGACGACGTGGGAGGTGCGTGCGGGTCGGGCGGGGGCGTGGTGTGTGGGGCGCCGATCACTGCTGCTGGCTGCAGCAGCCGGCTGTTGCTGGCACAGCGGAAGAGAGCAATGCGCGGACCCCCCACCATCTGCCACACCTGTGACCGGGCCAGGGGGGTGGGGTTGGGGTAAGGGGGGTAGGGGTGGGGAGAAGAAAGGAAACAGAGAAGGGGATACGATATTGTGTGCGAACACAGCGGGCAAGATAAATGAGTGGAGAGAAGTGAGATTGAGCAGAAAACAAGGGGAGGGGGGCGAGGGAGGGAGGCGGATTGCAGTTACCTCAACGACCTCTCGGCGTGGGGCAAAGATGGCGAGGCACATGGCGAGGTTGCGCGGCTTGAGCACAAGCTGCAGGTGCACGTTGGGCGTCGCGCCCCCCATGGATGTCATGCCCGCACTCACTATCGGCACCTCCAAGAACGCCAGCTCCGCCTCCCGGTACCCCTGCCACCACCATGCACACACACGGGGACGCACGCCAGGCCGCACGGCCATTGGCACAACAGATGTCAGAACATGCCTTCCACATGCCCATTTCATGCTCAATGGGAGGGGGAGGGGGTTGACAAGAGGAGCAGTGGAAAGATGAAGAGCGGCACGCAGAGCAGCAGCGGAGGTGAGGTTGAGGGCTGACCTTCCACATGCGCACGACAGCAAAGATCTGCGAGTCCAGCACCATGACGCGCCCCAGGTTGTCCGCTATGGCCATGAGTGTGCCCCTGGGCGCCACTGCCAGGCGCGTGGCATGGCGCGCGTGGTCCTTGAGTGCTGCCACCACGCCCATGCTGCTGCCCACCTCCATCGCCGCCCGCGGCACCACCCGCTCCCTCCCCTCCTGCTCCTCCGCCCCTCCCCCGCTGCCGCCACTGCTGCTGCTACTGCTGCTGCTGCCGGTGCTGGCGCGGCTGCTGGAGGAAGACGAGGAGGAGGAGGAGGTGGTGGAGCGGGGCGAGGAGAAGGCGGAGCTGGTGCGCGAGAGAGAGGCATGCGTTGTGGGGGACGACGGCACGCTCTGCGCCTGCGGCTGCTGCGCGTGAGGCTGGGAGTGCGAGGCGGAGGCGGAGGAGGAGGAGGAAGGGGTATCGGGAATGCGGGAGGTGGAGCGGCGGGTGCGGGAGATGGAGCGAGAGAGGGCGGAGGCAGCAGAGGCAGCACGGGAGCGCACATTGCTGGCCGCGTTTGTGGCGAGCTGCACCCACCCGCCCTGCTCTGTGGCGCTGTTAGGGCGTGCGGGCACGGGAGGCATGGGGCAGAGAGCGGTGTGAGGGGGGAAAGGTGTGCGAGAAATGTAGTGGTGAGGAGGGTGGAGGGCGTGAAGTGGCATGGTGATGGGAAGCAGGCAATGCAGGAAAGGGTGGTGCTTGTAGGAGGGAGTGAGGGGCAGAGCTAACGATGCATACAGAAGGAAAGTGATGAAATGGGGTGAGGCTGAGGTGCATGCTGTGCTGCCACAGCAACGTGCTGTGATGATGGCGTGGTATGGACCATAGGAGTGGCACCTATGGCAGAGGCGGTAAGCAATGGCAACAACTCACGCAAAGGCAGCGAGTGTGGGGTCCAGGCCCACAGCCACGATGCAGTATGACTGCTTGGGCGACTGCTCATGGCACACACACACACAAAGAGGGGGGTGGTTGGGCATGCAGCAGCACAAGGGCAGCGAGTGAACAAGACTGGGAAAGGCAGTGTGAGGGAGAATCATGAATGGATAAGAGAGGGGGATGGAAATGCAGGAGCAGTGGGGAGGTAAGAGGTGGCAACGGGTACCTGCACTTGGAAGAGAGGCGAGGGGAAGGTGCCGGCAACAGCACCATCGCTCCACTTGGTGGTGGCCCTGCCTGTGCGCCACTTCTTGAATGCCAGCGTGGAGCCACTGCCGCCCTCGTCGTCTCGCCCGCCCTTGCGCCCCGCGCCCATGAAGCTGAGTGCCGAGGCGAAGCCGCGCGACACATTGGCGGCCACGGTGTCCTCCAGCTGCACCACTCGCTGCTTCAACACCGACTGCACGTGGCCCAGGGTGGGCGGACGGTGGGGGAGAGGGAGGACGGGTGGGAGGAAAGGGCGCGGTAGCAGCACAGGATTGCAATGGGTTGGAATGGGTTGCAGGAACAGCATGAAAGGGGAGAATGAGGTGTGGAGGTGTCAGGTTGTGTAGCTTGTGCAATATGGTGATGGCATGTGGCGGCAGCTAAGCTACATGGGTCTCCGTTCAGCCTAGCAGGTGATGTGGCGTGTGAGCGTTGGGCAGGCGATTTTGAGTCGACTCAAAAATCGCCTCATGCAAGTGGCGTATGAGGGTAGGGGAGGTGGCAGGGGATGGGCAGACGGAGGGGAAGGGGTGGGCGCACCTGGAGCTGCACGGAGTTGATGACGCAGGTGGCATTGCGAGTGATGGCGCAGAGCTCCTGTGTGCCATCGTTGCGCACCATGCCCGCCTCCACGCCCCGCACTCGCAGCCGCACCACCGCCTCCGTGTGCACCATCTGCTCTCCCCCCCACACGCACGCGCACCACACAGTGGCAGCACCACAACACAGGTGAATGAGGGGCGACGATGGGGGTTGGGTGAGATGAGGTCCCATGGCATGGAAAGGAGAAGCACGAAGGCCATGCATCCGCGCGGAGAGGCCATGCTCGCATCATGTTGTGCGGTGTGCGGTGACACGCGAGTGATGGAAGCAGGGTGCGAGGCGAGAGGAGGGGCTTACCTGTTTGGCGAGCAGCACGCCTGTCTCGCAGTACACGAGCACGAAGCCCAGCGCCGTGCCCACGGCGAGGCACATGAAGGCGCCTGGCGGGCGGTTGGGCGAGGCCAAGGCGGCGGTGGTGCGGTGGTTGAAGGCGGAGAAGGTGATCCACTCCAGCGCCGTTATGGCGTCGTCACTGTCACACGCCGGCCTCACACTCACTGGCTCCACTGGCCTGCCGTGTTGCGCATGCACCACGCACACACGCCCATGACAGGGAGAAGGAGCGCGGAGAGAGAGTGTGTGTGTGTGTGTGTTGGGGGGAGAGAAGAGGAGGCCGGAAACGCACACACAAGGGCGTTGAGAGAGACTGTTGGTGAGAAAACAGTGAGGAACAAGAGCTAGCAAGAACAACTGGCGAAAAGCAGGAAAGCCACACAGACGGCACACACGCCCCCCCCACCCACCTGCCATCGTGTGCACCATGTCCGTCTGCAATGACAAGCGTGGTGCCCAGCGCCACTGCGATCAGCTCGCCATTCTCCGTCGCCGCCACCCGCACCTCCTCCTTCTCCAACCAGCTCACCATACTCAACCTCCCCCCCGACCCCTCCGCAACCCCCCCCACTGCGCAACCAGGATCCCCGCCCTGGACTCCCCCCGCGCCGCTGCTGATAGCAGCTTCTGCCCCCTCCCCTGGCACCCCGCCTTCCATCGCGCCTGCGCCGGTGCTGGCAGGTGCGCCGGAGGCGGAAGAGGCTTTGGGGAGCCAAAAGGGGAGCATGGCGTTGGGATCGGCGGAAGGGTGCGTGGGGCCGTTGAGGTGGCGCACGATAACTTCCGCGGACACGCTGCCCCATGGGCGCACCACCGCGGGGCGCGCTGAAAACAGCAGAGATTGGACGCGCGGAGAGCACAGAATAGGGGGAGGAGAAGACGAGGGGTACGGGGAAATCTAAATGAACGGAAATGTGACAAGTGAAAAGGGAAGGATGGCGTAGTACGAAAATCCAAAAACCAGTGGCGAAAGAGACGACGGGAGACCACACGCAGTAGAGAGACGGGAACGAGGGCACACGCGGAGGAGAACCGCGCATGAACCGGCGGAGCACGCGGAGGGACAGCCGCAGAGGGGACTTACGAACGCGGTACTGGGGAACATGTCGTGCTGATGTTCAAACAAGAGAGCTGCGTGCGAGTAGAGTTAGGGTCCAGCACGCCAGAGGTGCACAGGTCCATACATTGGACCTGGCCTCCTTTTCGAAAGAGGAAATGCTGGCGCGCACGTGTCTTCGGCATATACTAGTCACCAGAAATTCCTACGGCATCACCTGACTATCCATCGACCCCACATCAGCCACCCGCAAAAACTGGAAAGCGAAACAAGCCTTTGAGCAAACTGGTGCACGCAAGAGATCGCAATCTGGACGATTAGCCAGACTAGTTTTGCAAGTGGTTCTACGGACTCACGCGCTATCGCGATAGAGGCGAGAGCTGTCAGAAAGCAAGGGCATTGCTGGTTAAAATGACAGAGAACGACCGAAAGAAATGGAGGAAGAGTCAGGTCTCCTGATGAATATATTCTTCAGACGCACCTCGCCTCATGCTGGTCGACATTTGAGCGAGTGGTTATTGGCTTCGGTGAACTAGAGGAGTCCAATCTGCACGTGACGCATCGCTCCCTTCATCAAGGTAGAAGAATTCACCTACATTGGAAGTTTCTAATCTGAGACCTGCTTCCGGTGCAAGTGGCCGCAACTAACGGAAACATATGCGGGACAAGTGTACAAGGACGGCAAGTTATGTGCAAACTAAAATCGGCAGGCTATGATCAGGAGCGATTGATTCATTGACCTAATTAGGTGCCCTTGCCAGTGTAAATTGAGGCAGCACAAGGCACTCACCATTTCATGCGAGTTCGGGTGTGGTCTGGTGTTGTTGTTCCACGGGCAGGAGGAGCAGTCGCGAAAGCTGGGTGGAGACTTGAGCGCAGTGGCCAGTATCAGAGTGTAACAGTCATATTACCCTAAGCCCAATGGGACGTCTCGTGACCCCTGTGTTAGCGTGCTTTCTTAAAAATGCTGTGTTTTTCGTCACTCCGGCTTCAGTTTGTTCTCTCAGCCATGAGAAAGTTTCAACTTGGGACCGACGTTCTACCTGACCACCTTCAGCAAATTTGTCAGATTTTGGTATCCTCTCAGCATCCTGTGCTGCCTTTTGTCGCTCGATGGTTTTCCGTGCGAAAGGTGCAGTTCCGTAGTGCTGACTTTATAGCACTCCACCAGAAATAACTTGTTTATTAACCCTCAGTCTAATGCGAGGAAAATATTTGTAACCCAGACTTAGCAATGCTTTTATGAAGACTGACCTTGAAATGCAACGCTGCTTCCACAAAAGGCCTGCTCACTTGGTCGGGTACGAAGCCTATGTTTGGGTGTGCCCTGGGCTAGCAGCCAGCTCCGTCGTGGTCAGGTCCGAGGAGGACGTGGCATGAAGGAAGCACCTTGGGGCCTGGTTCGGCCCAAATGGGCCACCTTTTGTTTGGTTTGGTAAGCCCGAACCGAGAACACTGAAAAACACCTGAACGATGACTAGCTGCACGAAGGGACATGTTGAGATAGCTGGGTGTGATCAGGTAAGAATGAGCATGCGTGTATTTGTTCCACATCCACCAGGTTGCAAAAACATGCAAACGTTGCCTTCAACACCCCAACAGAGTGCATTTTCCCTCCAACACATAAATATGCTCCTCATTCATGCAAGTAAAACATCCTGAATTATCAAATTTCAGACGTGAGTGGTCCTTTGAAAACGTATGGAGAGAGGAGGCAATGGGAGGTGAGGAGCCGACCTCATGCAACCACGCTCTTGTAGTGGACCTAAAAAAGCATTGAGTTATTTCAGTATTGGCTCTTTCTTAGGTGTGTTTGTTTTCACATGATTTGTTAATTTTATGTGAATTTTTTTAATATATGTAAGGAAGTATGGATGCAATGCAGAAGACGTCACCACATAAAGGAATATGCTTTGGCTGATTGCATGAATGCCAGCATTATTCATTGGACTTTAAGTTCAGAAATGTGAGGTACACGGTTGATCCTTTTTAGGTCGCTCGTGCGGACTGACAAGAGCGTGATAGCGGGCGGTGGAAAGCGAACACGAGTGGTGGCCCCACATTTACCGCGCCTTTCCCGCGTCGTGCTTTCATTTGTGTCAGAGGTCAACGTGGCCGGGATGACGGGAGGGAGGGGGTGGAGAGGGAGGAGTCGGCATTTTGCACTTTGGGCCGACATGGCGGGCGGAGGGGCTGAGGGGAGGGAGGGAAGGCAAATGTTTGCGTTGTGTGCCTTCACCTCCACCAGGTAACGAGACGACGCACCTGCTAAACCTCTCCAACCAGACCGACAACATTCATCGCCGACAACCGAAAGGCGAAACTGCCGATGTGTACTCTCAGATGCTTGTTTCAGACCGCTTGTGTGCGGTATAGGTGCTGCTGGGCATTTAAGTTCTTGCAGCTTTGACGTTCAGTTCGGCCATCATCGTCCCCACCGTGTTGGTGATCGAAGCTGCAATGCCCGTGTAGGACCATGCCGCTCTTTGTAAGAATAGAATGTTGCGGAACGTTGCATAGAGCACCTGTTGGCAGCACAGCCCGCCCCTTCCCTCTGCGTCGAGACTTCCGCGCACCGCCTCCGTCTCTGGTCATTACGTTCTTGCTACTGCTTTTACCCGCACCCACGCCCGCGTTTCGCGCCAGCAACCGCATCGCTGCAGCCGTGGACTCCTCACACTCGAGCACTCCCTCCTCCGCCCCTGCGCCACCTGATGTCGCCACGCCGCCGATGCTCCTCGGCTCTCATCGGCCTTCGGGGGATGCTGTAGGAGGTGAAGCCACACCGGGGGAATCCATACGATGGGAAGCCACGCGGGGAAAAGCCACGCAAGTTGGAGTACAAACAGGAGGGGAAGCTAAGGAGGGGGGATCCACGCAAGGGGAAGCCACGCGGGGGAGGGCAACGCAGGGGGAAGATACGCGGGACGTACACGTGCGCGAGTATGTGAGCAATGAGGGGTTGCTTCAAGGGTCGGAGTCACAGGAAGCGTTTCCGCCATGCACCACTGAACCTCGCCCGCGTTGGTGGCTGCTGGGCGCGCTGGCTCGCGCGGCCGCGGAGGCCTTCAACGCCACCTCGCCGCTCGCCGCCATAGAACGCCGCCCGGCTCGCGCCGCCGCTCCCGTCGACCCGCCCTCGCTGCGTCCCGGCGCTGATCTGCCTCTCGTCGTCGCGATTGCCGGCGACTTTCTCGCCGGAAACTTGAGTGCGAGTCGGGAAAGGAGACGCGTGCGGCGGAGCCGTAGGATGAACCCCTATCTGCGGAGCAGCAGAAGCATGCTGTCTACAGCCCAGCGCCGCCCTCCCCCACCCGCTGCTCGGCGCACGCCCGCTCGAAGAACACCCTCACTGCCGCCGCCCGCTGCCAAGAAGCAGGCGCCGCTACCCGAGATCACCTCGCGGTCCCCCTCTAGGAGCGGTGGCGGGTCGACGGGGAGGAAAGCTGAGAGCCAGCCCAAGAATGCGCCGCCGTCGCCGGCTAAGAAGGGCCGGAAGAAGAAGCTCGCGTCTCCGCCACCGGCGCCTCCGCCGCGCAAAAAGGGCAGAAAAAGGCGACCGCCACCGCCATCCCCGCCCGCTGCTCAAAAGCCCCCGAAACGGAAACCTCCCACTGCTCCGTCGCCGCCCCCACCTAGAGGCTCCCGCAATCCCGCGCAAAAGCCCCCCAGGAGCCCTCCCCCTCCCCGCCCTCCTCGGCCCCCCAGTCCCCCTCCGCCTTCTCCTCCTCAGCCGCCCAGACCTCCGCCTTCACCCCCATCCCCCCCCGCGCCCCCATCTCCTCCCCCGTTTGGCGTACAGTCCCCCGACTGCCAGTACGGCGCGGAGAAGTCGCTGGCGGAATGCGCGATGGGGTACGCGGGCGCGGCGGGTGTGCGCGGGGCGCAGGCGCTGGGGCTGACGCGGTACACGGTGGACAGCGAGTTCGACACGCTGGACGGGTCGCAGATGGCGGTGGGCACGCTGCGCTGGGCCGTGACGTACCTGCGCGAGGGCGCGTACATCCAGTTCGCGCGCAGCATGCAGATCACGCTGCAGGGAAACCTGTACGTGCGGTCGCGCACGACGATCGACGGGCAGGGCTTCCACGTGCGGCTCAGCAACGGCACGCTCGTGCTGCAGAACGCCGTCGACGTCATCGTGCACAACGTCGAAGGTCAGCCGCACACGCGTGGGTGGCGTGCCGCCACTGGCGCGAGGGTCTCCGCGAGTGTATGCAAGCGACGCGCACTGCTCTCTTATCCTGTGCATGTTCTGTTCCCCAACCCACGCCCTTATCTTCCCCGTATACTTGGCCCATCCGTCTCCCTGTCGGTGGTGTGGGCAGTGAGCGGCGCGGGTGGGGACCTGATACTGGTGTACAACAGCAGCAAGGTGTGGGTGGACCACTGCCGGCTGGTGGACGGGCGCACGGGCACGGTGGACGTGGGCAAGGGCAGCACTGACGTCACCATCTCCAACTGCTACATCAGCAGCCCCTCGCCCACCATGCAGGTAACCCTCTCGCCTCGCCCTGCCACGTGCACCTGGTACTGGTTCATCAAAAGGTGGGAGCGGGACGTGCATGTGAGGAAGGGACTGTGTGCGGTGTGGCAGGTGACACATGCCCACTCGTGGAGCCCTGCCCACATGCACACACACGCACATGATCGTGCGCAAGGCCCATTAAATGACCACGCGGCTATGCCCTACCATACCATACCCTTTCACCCGTGTGCATCCCTTTCCCCCTCTCTCTCTCGCCGCGCATACCAACTCCCGGCACTGCCCACTGCAGCTGGGGCTGTCGGACGGGGAGGAGGCGGATCGCATGATGCGGGTGACGCTGTACCGCAACTGGTTTGACTCCTCCTACGCCATGCAGCCGCTGTGCCGCAAGGGCTCCTGCCACGTCGCCGCCAACCTCTACACGCGCTGGACGTCTTTCTGCTTCGCGGCTCGCAGGGGCGCCGTGGTGCGCTCCGAGAAGAACGTGTTCCGTGCCGACCCCGCAGGGCGGGGGGAGGTGACGGCGTGGTACAATGGCATGCTACCCACGGATAGCAACTACGATACCACCGCCACCATTCGCTCCGTGGACGACTTGCTTCTCGCAGGTGCCACGTTCCACGAGTGGGTGGGCGCCAACGCGCTCTTCACGGCGCCCTATTACCTTCCCTTCTTCCGCAACACACGCCTACTGGAGGCTTTTCTCATGGTCAACTGCGGGCCCAAGTACGACACCGTTGTCGCTCTGCCCCCTGCCTCGCCCCCGCCCTCCCCACCACCGTCACCCCCTCCTCCTCCCCCATCCCCTCCCCCGCCACCGTACGTCCCGCCCCCACCCATCCCTCCACCACCCCCTCCGCCGTCGCCCCCCCCAGCGCCGCCACCATCGTCATCCGACTGCCAGTATACCCCGGCAGCGTACGGCGCAGGCATACTGGCGTGCGCCATGGGGTACGCGGCGGGGGATCAAGGCGCGGGGTTGGCGGGCATAGCAGCGATGCCCGAGTACGTGGTGACGCTGGACGAGGACGCAGCAGGCAGCAGCCGCCAGGGGTCGCTGCGGTGGGGCCTGGGCAACTTCAAGGGCGGCGTGCGCATCTCGTTCGCGCGCTCCATGACCATCCGCCTGGCTGCCGTGCTTTACGTCAAGTCCAACACGATGATTGATGGCAGGGGCGTGAATGTGACACTCACGGGCGACAGCATCGTGGTCGTGCACTCGTCACAGGTCGTGCTGCACAACATCCAATGTGAGTGCCAACGCTGTGAAGCGGGGAAATCCTGGGGAAGATCTAGCAGGCCACTATGCTCTTCCATATCCACAGAATTCTCATGCAGTACCAGCCCAGTACAGCCATGAATGGTGTGTTCCCACCCTATTTTCACCCATTCCCACCAACTTGCACAATCGCTAGGGCATCGCAAGTCTGCGGATTGTAACGTCCTCTCCTGGTGCATGTGGTTCTTCTTATCTCCCCTCCACCAGTGGCATGTGACGCAGCGAGCAGCAGTGCGCACGTGGTGCTGTACAACAGCACCAACGTGTGGGTGGACCACTGCCGCTTCTCCAACGTCTCCAAGGCCGCCCTCGACGTCTCTCGCCTCTCCTCCAACGTCACCATCTCCAACTGCCACTTCACCCCGGGAGCTCCCTCCGCCGCCACGGTGCTACTGGGCAGCAGCGACAGCGACACGTCGCTCTCATCCCTCACCGCCACGCTCTACCGCAACTGGTTTGACCGCGCCCCACCCGGTCAGCCCGTGTGCCGGCGCGGCAGCTGCCACGTGTCAAGCAGCCTGGTGAGCGGGTGGGCAGGGGCGGCCATGGATGCACGTGTGGGCGGGCAGGTGCTGCTGGAGAACACCCTCCTCTCCTCCGGTGCTGCCTCACAGGCCGTCGTGGCTGCTTCTGCCACGAGCCCTCCCGGCACCGTGGTCTCCGTGGGGAGTGTGCTCATGGGTGCTGCTGTGTGGGGCCCCGTGGCAGCAGCAGGCACCCCTACCTTCACCCCTCCTTACTCCCTACCTGCGTCTCCTCCAGACACCAAGTTTGCCCAGTTCATTAGGAGCAATGCGGGGCCACATGAATGGTGACATGTGCACCACTCTCTTCGCCCTGATAGGTTGGGCACCGCCACAAATATCTTCGAGATTTGCACCAGTAGGAAACATATACATACTCTACATGTATTTAATTTATATGCTCTGATTCTTATTCGTTTATATACATTTTGGTGCTAGATCTTAATATACTTCGCGTACGCTCTTATTATTGAAGTTTTGGCTGGGCTGCAAATATGCAGCACAAACGCGTCCATTGATTGTGCGAACCACACGTTCGTGTCTCCTGCGCATTCACTTCTAGCTGCAACACTACGTGCTGGTGCCTACAGTCGCGCTGTGCCGTCGCCGTGTGCGGCGAGGGTTCAGCGACCTCCATGGCGGGCGACGAATCGTGGACAGTCGTTTCCAAACGCCGCGCCTCGCGCGGAAGCCGCTCCAGCGGTCCGCGGCCAGGGGGCGCCCAAGGGCCCGTCGGGTGCGCCTCCGCGGAGTCGAACGGCGGGGCTTGCGCGGAGGTGTCGGAGAGTGCCGCGGATGAGCGGAAGGTGGAGCTTCCGGGGTGGAACGTGCGCGGGAATTGGGGGAACGAAGGTGAACGCGAGTGCGCCCCTAGGAAGCCAGGCGGTAAAGGCAAGGGGCGACACGGCAGTGGCGCGCGCAATGGCGGGGAAAGCGAGGAGTCGCGAGTGACGGCGCGCATGGAGGAGGCGAGGTGAGCGCGGTGGGGAGGAGAGGGTGGGGTATGGGGGATGGCATGTGCGGTGGGCCGTGGCAGCGCTCGTTCCCTGCTGCGCGCACCTCTTGACGCCCCTTTTTCTCTCCTCTGGCTCCTGCCGTTTCGCGCGCTCCTTCACCTGCTGTCGCGCGCTCCTACCCTACTTCTCATCAACCGCCCAATCCATGGCACCCCTGACACTCACAGCGCCCTCATCCCCCTATGTTTCCACCCCCTCGTTTGTGCTCATGGCATGGCATGGCATGGCGGGGTGGCAGGCGCATGGTGCAGGAGTCGGCGTTCTACAGCAAGCTCAGAGGTGCGCCACCGCACCCTCGCCCGCTGCTTCCACGCCCTGCCTCAACACGCATCTTGTTTCACCTCGCCGTTCAGTCTCTTCCCCCACCGCCCATTGCCACTGCTCCCTCATGCACCCTCCTGCTTGCATCGCTGCTGCAGCTCCGAGCGTGCTCCTCACGTGAGCCCTCTTTCCATTGCCGCTCCCTTTGCTGCTGCGTGGTGGCATGCACGTGTATGTCCGCTAGCATGCATGCTTGCACGTGCCTGCTTGTGCGCGCATGCATGATTGTGTGTGTGTGCATGTGTGTCTATGCATGCGTGCATGTGTGCATGTGTGCATGTGTGCATGTGTGCATGTGTGGGGGGATCACATCCCTCAGACCAGATGGCATCACTGCGTGTAGCCCATTGCTTGCTGGCGGCCCATCCCCTCTCCGCTCCCTCCGCCACCTCCTCCCTTCCCCCCCCCGCTCCCCAATCTGCTGCTGCGAGGGCACCTGATCACCCCTCCTCTCCGCCCACAGCACCTGCACATGGCCTCCACGGAGGTGCCGTGGACACAGGGGGGAAAGGGGAGGACTGTATGGAAGAGGGAGTGGGGGTGGAGGGAGAGGAAGGCGGGGAGGGAGAGGAGGGGTGGGAGGGGGTGGAGGTGGAGGTGGTGGTGTACGGGGTGGGCAGCATCGCACACTCACCCGTGGCACGCTGTCAGATGGCTCTGGGGCTGCTGCTCGCCCATGCTCTGCAGGTGCTGCCCCTGCTCCTGCCTCTCCATGTCCCACTGCTGCTCTCAGCTGGATTTTTCTCACCACTGCCCTGCCCCTGCTTTCTTGTGCCGTCTGCTGCATCGTCCGTTCGGCCTGCCCCCTTCCCGCTGTCCCGTCCCATCCACAGGAGGACCTCTCCCCGCTGCCCCAGCCTCCAGGCCACGCCCCGGCCTCTCCGCCGCCACCCGCGCCCTCCACACATCCCCACGGCACGTCCCCTCCACCGCAAGCAGCCCTCCCTGCTTCACCGCCCTCCCCCATGCCCCAAGCGCACGGTGCAATACCCCATACAAGTGCGCGGCCCCCCCGTGTGCGCGTGAGTGTGTTTGACCCCGTGCTCTCCCCCGCTGAGCTCGCCGCACTGGCCCTGCTGGGCGCGCACTGCCTGCCCGCCAACGAGGTCCGTGGGGGGGCAATCGCTGTGGAGGAGAGGGGCAAGGGGAGAGGGCGAGAGGGGCCAAGGAGGAGAAAAGGCAGAGTTAATGAGGGGAAGGGAAAGGCGGAGGGGAGGGGTAGGGAGAGAATGGGGTGTGACGCAACAAGGACTGGTTTTTTGCTGCCCATTCTGCTGTCAAAGGTCGCCGGGCACATGTTGCTTTTGCCGGCTGTGCGTCCTTGCATTGGTCTGCCCGCACATTCACGCTGCTCTCTCTCCGGCCTGCATCCCTGTGACACCAGGAGGGGCGTCGCAGGGTGCGGGTGCCAACGCTGTTCTACATGCCGCACTGCGAGGCGTTCCTCTACAACAACGTGCGCTGCTGCATGCTCTCCAGCCCTCGCCCTCACCACTCCACACCTCCTCCATTCTGCAAAACCTTACTGCCTGCTTTATTGCCCCCTCCGTGTTTCCTACACACTTGCATGCACTGCGTGCTACATCGCACGCTCTTCACCATTCTTACTTTACCAACATTGCAAGTCCCATTCGTGTTGGTGCCCTTCACCCATGCAAGCTCTGCAACTCTGCCTCTTCCCCGCCCCCTGCCTCCAGGTTCTAGAAGCCAATGCTTCTGCTCTCGGCTTCACCCCCACTCCTCACACATCGCCCCCCGCCTCTCTCCCCCTCACACCACCACTGCCCAAGGAAGAACCTGCCGAGCTGCCTTCATCCTCCACTCCTCCCGCTGCAGCAGCAGCAGCAGCAGTGGATGAAGCGCGTGGTGGCAGCACGAGAGAGTGTGCACCGATGGTGATTCTCGGCAACAGCTTTGCCTCGTACGAGGACAGGTGCGCACTGCACGGAGAGGTGCTAGGGGAGAGTTGAACCCAGTGGGGATGCCGGGGAGTAGTACAAGCAGCATGTACTGGCTTGTAGTTATCATGGTACCCGCTTATGCATGTTTGTTCACAAGAGTGGCATGCGTACTATGTGTATGGTGCATGCAATGTGTGAGCAGGTGGAGTGTGGGTGCACAGCCATCCACGCCACGGCCTACCGCTCTTCTTCAGGTAACCTTGCACACCTGCTTCGTCTCTCTGCCTGCATACGTCAGCCCTCACCAGAGCCACGCGACTGCATGCCCGCATGCACTGCCACGCCACTGCCACCTCATCCCTTCTCCCCGTGCTGATTGCCTCCCTCATGCCCGCCTCTCTCCTTCCTCTCTGCCCATGCGCTGTGCTTCCCTGCCCCGCCACCACGCATCCACAGCATGTTCTGCACAGCAATGCCCTCCTGCGCCTCCCTTCCCCATGTGGCCCCAATTCTCCTCCATTGCCTCACTGCACAGCCCCTCAGTTGCCACCTTCCGCTCCTCACTGTTCCATGCATGCCTATCCCATGTGGTGTGGCAGGCGGTGCAGCAAGGAGTGGTGGAGGAGGTGCCTGTGGATGCCGCCGCTTTCCCACTCATCTCCGCCTTCAATGACACCAGGCATGTGCTGCACTCACCACACACTCCATACACCTCACGCCATGCAGACGCACGCACAAACATTCACACACACACACACACACACACACGCACGCACGCACGCACGCACGCACGCGCGCGCACACACACACACACACACACACACCCCGCATGCGCGCACACACACAGACCCATGTGCACACGGAGCCTCACTCCATCCCCCTGTCCATTGGCTCCCCTTCCAGCTGGCACTTCTTGCATTACAGTCACCAACACCACAAGCTGCTGCAGAGTCAATCTTAGCCTGCTGGAGGTCGTTATTCATCCACACTAGCACTTGTTAGTATCTAGCAGAGGTACAGTGCACTACTTGCTACTGTGTATAGTGTAGTAGTGTACTGGCGCATTGGTTTCAAAGGCGGCTTTTTATTGCTCCCGTTACCGCTTCGCTTGTTAGTCCCCAAACCATATCAACCGCATTGCTTAATGTCTGACTTGTTATGATCCTCTTTGCAAAGGTTGGCTAGCCCTATTGTCAACTTGTTTCAATATCTTTGGAGATGATGCTAGCATTTTTATTGTTCAACCTACAGAACCCCACTGCAAGATTTTTCCACATATTTTCGGTTCTTGCGCAACAATGTTTTGCTGGACCGTCGAGCCCAGACAGTTTAGGGCGTGGAACATTTTTACGAACACGTCGAATGGTCGAATTGATGGTTGCTTCTGGCGATTGCGAAGGATTTAGGGAAACCCCATCGTGTGAGATGCCCAGTATTCACCCTCATTCGACCGAATTTCAATGGTAGTTTCCGTAGGATTTTTGTCGCCTACCTACACTGTCCAGAGAAGTGGGACAACGTTTAACTTCGATTGTTCCACTGAAAGTGTTTTCCGGCCCCGCTCTACTTGCAAAACATACAATTTTTTGCCCCCCGACGTTCCATACCCTATTCGAATGCTTAAACTAGGATCAGATGTTTTTTCTTAGTTTGGGTAGTATTTGGTAGGTGCCCCACGTTCTGGCGAACAGATTAGCTTGAAAATCTCGCATTCTTCGCATCTCTGTTACACTTTTCGTTTTCGTTAGATCCAACCATACGGGCGACCATTTGGCATGGTCGGAAAAATGTTCCACGCCCTTACTGTATCATTCGAACGATTTCATGTGACCCTGCCGTCATCCCAGCTGCTGTACGGTCAGGCTTGGGGAAGAGGAAAGGTACCGTACAGACATTCCGCGGTAGGCCCTGGTTTGGGAGTGGGAGGTAGGGTGTTTGTTCCGGTTGGGCGTGGCGGGCAGGTGATGGACCAAATGACGAAATCCCCTCCCCCCTGCGATGAACGGCTGTGGGGACAAAAGAAACCGTCGCACCCACCCTGTGCTGCGGCCTGCCAAGCAGCAACCACCTGCGCTGATGACCGTCATCACTTTCTTCCATCCCCATGCCAGGATCATAGCGAGTGACCAGCTGGAAAGTAGGACCGACTACGCCTTCTTGCTCAGCATTCTTTCCCTGAACTTAGGCTCGTGGCCATGTGGAGGTCCTGTCAGGCCGCATGCAGCAGGTCGTGTTTCTCGCCAACCCGCGACGCGCTGTTCGCGGTGCCGTCCGACCTGTCCGACGCGTCCACCACCTCGCCCGAGCGCCATGACCTCCTCGTCCACTCTGATCCTCCCACACCCCCGCTACGCCTCGCCGCGTTCCCCCTGGAGCCGCAGCGCATGGGGCGCGACGAGTCTTCCGCCAGCGATGTTCTGAATCCACCGCAAGCAGAGGCCGGGGAAGCAGTAGTGGCAGCAGGCGGCGCCAGAGACGCGGATGCAGCATCAGCGTCGGTTGATAACCCGCTGGCTGCCGCCTCGACCTGCATAAGACCACCCTCGTTAGCGCGCGGTGCGGATGCAGCAGGCGGTACATTCGCGCTGGCCGACCTCCCGGATTCGCTGCTCTGCGACGTGCTGCGCCACTTAAAGCCCGTCGACGTGCTGCGGGTCGCGCTCGTCTCCCGCGCATTCCGCGATGCCTCTACGGCCGAATCTGTTTGGGACGACAGGCTTCCCGAAAGTAAGGTGCCTGGAAAGTAGGAGTAATCTTTCAAATTTGTAAAGCATCGCCGTGCTCATGCCTCGTAGTAGGAGCAGTTGTAGGCCAGGTGTATTGACGTAAGATTCGCGTCAGCAACGCCTTGTGAGAGTGCAATAATCCCTCTCCAGACGCACCTTGACACTGTCATTCTCGCCCATCCCTTCCGCCAACCCCCTTTGCCCCACATTCCTCCCGCCTCTACAGGTTTGTCTCAGCTCGTACCACAGCCAAACCCTTGCCGCGTCTCCTCTCGCCTCGCCTTCAGGTCAGTGCCGTTGTTGCCGGAATTCCTCCTTAGTTGAACTCCGGAGGCCACTTCGGCCCTTGCCATGCCCGCTCGCATTGCCCCACCCGCCTCACGCGTCGTGCGCGCCCCCCCCCCTGTCCGCGCGTGTGCGCGCAGGGCGGTGTGCGAGGGCGTGCACGTGGACGAGGGGCGGCAGCGCCTGGCACTACATGCGGGCACGGGCGCCATGAGCCTGTGCGTGTCCGTGGCGCTCGCAGCGCGCTCCATGCAGGTGGACATCCGGCGCGGCGGCATGGTGCGCGACTGGCAGCGCATGTGCGACGAGCCGCGCGCCTACTTCCACACGTCCGTGCTGCTGCGCCCCGTGGGGGGCTACCGCGTCGCCTCCACCCCTGATGGCATCGCTCTGCCTCGCCAGCTGCCCGCAGGTGATGCTTGCTGCACATGAGTTAATAAGCATGCTGTTGTGGTTTCCAATGCCAGGGTTTCAGGTGTGTGTGAGCACTCCTTCCATGCTGGTCTCTTGACCGTGTGTGGGCGTGGGTGTGTGTGTGTGGGTGCAGGGCGGTACTCCGTGGGGTGGCGAGTGAGGGCGCAGCACGTGGCGCCAGACCTGATGTTCCATGCCGACTCCACCTTCTCCATTGACAACAGCTCCGCCATCTGGCGCCGCCACTGCCAACCACTCACTGCCACGTGGCAGATCCTCAGTGTGGGCGACGTCCTCCTGCCATCAGCTGCCGGTGAGTGGCGCCCTGCTCACGCTTCAAACATTCTCCGCCTCTCATGGTTTGTGTGCACACCGTTCATTCTGCTACTGCATGGTCCGCACCGCAATGCCACCGTCCACCTGTCTGAGTGTGCGATCATGTGTCACCCTTGTGCTGCCATGTTCCCATGCTTGCCTGTATGCTACATGTACCCTCTGTCGCCTGCAGAGCAACCAGGCAGTACAACTCCCCAGGCGATGATGACAGCGGAGCTGCTGCAGCTGCAAGGAAAGGGACCGCAGCCGCCTGTCGTGATCGACTGCATTGTCTTGCAGCAGCGCACGGGGTGACTGGCGCCATCGGTGCAATATTTATGCAGCAAGCTCCGTGTGCTGGAATAGCCTGTGTTGGAATCTCAAGTGCCCTTCCCTGTAAAGAAGTACTCCATGGGCACCAAGGCTCCCGCTCTTTTCAGCCTCATTTGATGGCAGCAGCCTACTTTAGAAAAAAGCCAAGCCAAATACCATAGAATAGAAGGCCGTGTGCTGAGTGTGTGACCCTGACTTCACAGTGTGACAGCTTTAGTGTCCATGTGACCTTTTGTGAGTGTGACTGTACAACCAGGGACAGGGATGGCTTCCAGCCAGCTGATTGGATATTACGCAGCAATAATATGATACAGACATCGCTTATGTACATATTGACGAGGTGGTGGGATCAGACTCTGCTCCATGTACTGGCCATGTCGGTGAGCTTCTCAGGGGCCTCAGGGTCGCAGCGCTGGTAGAAGAAGATGCTCATGGGGCGCAGCGAGTACAGCGCGGCAGAGCGGGAGAAGCCCGACTCAGGCAGCACGAACGAGTGGCACGTGGAGAGCAGCAGCCACTCCGCCACCATCTCCCGGAAGTCCATCACCGCCGCACTCTTCCTCTCCGCCTCATCACCCTCACTGCCTTCCTCCCCTCTGTGCACGGAGCCTGTGAGTTTGCCAGCAGCAGTGAGGTTGGCGAGCACGGCTTCGTGAATGCGTGTGCGATTCACCTGAGCCACATCCTCCCCGTGCGCCACAGCCTCGCGCACCGCTGCCTCCTCATAGTCGTGCAGCAGCACGGCGTCAGAGGCGTTGCCCGCAAAGTGGTTGTACCCGCGCTCCCTCAGCAGTATGTCGCCCAGCTTCTCCGAGTGCCGTGGCACAAACCCCGTGAACAGCACCTGATGCCAACACATGCCCATGGACCATGAGGGGAAAGGACCAAAGCCAAGGTTATGTGAACAGCACGAAGCTTACTCAAAGCAACCTACTCCCTCAAACATACTCCCCTCCACTGTCGACGATTTGAAATACACGCTCTCATATCTATCCCTGGTGCAACCACTCTCAGCTTACCGGCCAGCAGTCACCTCACTGCTGCACGCACAGCTGCATTTTCCTCAACCTATCCAGGGGGTGCGTTTGAGAGCACCTTTGTTGTGCAAGTGCTCGTGTGTATTGTGGATAAGCATGCACGTGTGTACGTGTGTGTACCTTATCCGGCAGCTGCTGCTTGAGTGTGTCCTTGAGCTGCCCCGAGTTTGTGATCAGCACCCACCGCACCCTCAGCGGTGGTGGAAACCACCATGCCTCCACTGACTGGAGAAGACAATGGGGAGAGGTTAGGAGGAGGAGAAGATTGCAAACTGCACACATGTGTGGCGCTGGAATACAGGCGATAGGAGAGGCATGGGGATTCTTGGTGACGAGAGCAGTTCTCTATGCCAAGTGAAGCAGGCAACAGAAGAGAATGCATGGGTTGGCCAGGGAAAACAAAGGAGGCGTGAAGACGAAAATATCTGTGAATCACTGGTTACCAGCTCACGCCAACACTTGATGGTTCACCTGGGCACACCCTATGATTGGAGATGCCTTTTCCAGAAGCTCCTGAAGCTCCGTGGAATTGTACTCCTTGGGCCTTAGCTTCCTCTCACCTGCAATTCACCCATCACAGCCACGTGGAACCACTGTGGACACCAAGCAATATCTCTGTAAAAGCAAGCTCATTGGACCACGTCCTCCCTTCCCACACCAAATCCAGACCCCCATTAATCTCCAGTCCATCCACTTTGCGAATGGAACAATAGGGAGATTATTGCCTTTTCACCTCACTTTGCCAACACTTCCCTTGCCACAATGACATCGCACCTTGCCATGCCGTTTCATCTTGAATCCTAACGTGAACCCCAATGCTGACGGTGTAGGGTGCATGCGTCTGGCTCCACAACGAGGCGAGAAGCTCCGTTACTTCAGGCTTGGGCCTGATAGCGAGCGCCATGGGGTCGTGGCAGGGAGAAAGGGCAGATGGAGGTGGTGGTGACGTTGCATGGGGAGATGGCAGGTGGAGATGTGGTTGATGGGCCCCAATCAAGCGGAAGAGGGAGGGGAGATGAGAGAGAGAGAGAGAGAGAGAGAGAGAGAGAGAGAGAGAGAGAGAGAGAGAGAGAGAGAGAGAGAGAGAGAGAGAGAGAGAGAGAGAGAGAGAGAGAGAGAGAGAGAGAGAGAGAGAGAGAGAGAGAGAGAGAGAGGAGAGAGAGAGAGAGAGAGAGAGAGAGAGAGAGAAGAGAGATAGAGATCGAGCTCTAGAGCGCGAGAGCGAGAGAGATGAGAGAGAGGAGAGCGAGAGGGAGAGAGAGAGAGAGGAGAGAGAGAGAGAGAGAGAGAGAGCGAGAGAGAGGTGAGTGAAGAGGGGCACGGCACGTACTTGAGCAGCAGGCGCAGGATGCAACCCACGGAGTAGGGCACGCGGAGGCCTGTGGTGCGCATCCACTCGCCCCACGGCCCTTGCTCCTCCGTGAGCAGCTCCGTGAGCTCGCCGCGGTTCCACGAGAGGCGCATGTTGACGGCGTCCTGGAAGGGCTGGAAGAAGAAGGCGAGGTCGAAGAGGAACAGGTTGCGCAGGTCCATCATCGGCACCTCGTCCGCCGCCTGCAGCTTCTCCCACGCCGCCACGCGCGCCACGGCTCTGTCCATGGCGATCTCGCGCGCGGGCTCCATGGGCACGTCGTCGGACGGCGCCCAGTCCACCAGGTTGGGCTCGAACGCGAAGGGGATGCACGGATGCCGGATGATGAACGCGCGCCGCATGATCAGCGCCACGGCGAACGTGGACGCGAGGCCTAGCAGGGAGTCCCCTAGCCCTCCGCAGTTGTCGAACCATTCGTAGGTGATGAAACGAAGAAGCACAGACGACGATGCGTTGCTGCTGCCCGCATTCACGCTGCTATCGGCCCTGCCTGCTGCGTTCCTATTCGCTGTCCTGATTTGCTCGTGAATTTGGATGTACTCGGTATGCCATGACCCGCAAAGCGCATCCGGATAACCGAGGTCCAGAAGCGATGTCAGCTCCGAGGTAAAGGATGGCTTGATGCTGCTATCAGCACCGTCGCTCTCCGTGCTGATGGAGCCAGTGGCGCTGGAGGAAATCAAAAGCGAGACGACGACGGCTATACGGAGTGCACTGACGACGGCTATCCGTGCTGATATGCTACGCTCCGCACTCAGAGCTCTCATGGTGAGGCGGGCAACATGGACAACACTGACGGAAAGATCGGAGTGGTTGATACGCGAGAGACGCATTTCCCTTCTGTGCAGTGCGCCCCCCACCTTTTGCTGCCTTCCCCGTCCACAACCCAGCCCAACCGAAATCAAATGCATCCTCACCAGCATGAGGCAAAATTGATCATTCTGGCGAGTCTGAGGGCGTATTCTTGGGCCTCGTGTCAAGCTGTGTTTGTGTCAACCTAGAATCTTGGAACGCATGCGATTGGTTTAAAAGGTACAACTGGCCAATCAGATGCGCTCCTAAGTTATGGGTTGAAACCAACTGGTTCTTGTCACAAAGTCAAGAATACGCCCTGACACCAAGAAAGAGTGGTCCGAAGCTCGACTTTGGCAAAACACGCCCTCAGACCGCCACAGTTTCCCGGGGGGGCAATTAGCAGGAGCAATGGTGAAAGAACCACTTTCAACGTACTCAAATCAGGCTTGTTACATCCAAAACCGTTCCTAACCTCGCTAAAAATCTGCACAGGTTCGATCCTGCAAAATGGCTCGGGGAGATCCGTCAGGGGGCATTCCTACATCGCTTAGGGCTCATTTTGCAGAATCGCAAGAGCATGATTCTCCCATAACGACGATCTTTTCGCGGTTCTGCTGCGCCTCCTCGGTACTTTCTTGAAAGGGTCGCCACGCAGCCACACGGGGTGGGATGAATCAATCACCACCTCGGATCGGACTCGAGGTGTGAAAGAACCTTCTAGCTGGCTTGGCTGGTCAGGGTAGGAACACGGGATTGGTCTAGGTAGGAGTTTGTCAGTTGCACCATGCGAGCATACGCGATACAAGTGTGGTGTGGCAACGGCCCAAATATTATAGGCATGCCATCTTGCGCAACCGCAGTTCCAGCCAATCCCAAGAAAACCTCGGAGCTCCAACCTTTCCGTCCTTTCAAAGCCTCTCATCCCCCTCAAACCTCACGTCGTGAGTGGCGGGTATGGAGATTATCTCGCGGTCATTGTCATCCTACAACTCATTTCCATATGCTCCATGCACCTCCCGTCGGTCTCCTCTCGGTTCCGTGTTTCGTTCAGATGCTGGTAGTTCAAATGTTTCAGCTCCTTCCTTGTCTGCGGTGTTTGTGAACGGCGACGCATTGCATCTGAGGAAAAGTTGCTTCATTCGCGAAAATGCGCGAAATCGCGCTAAGAGCGGGCGTGGTTTCAGGGCACGGGCATATAACGACTCGGGCAGGACCTGGAGGCGTCCTGTGCCTCCGCGTGACACGCCGGTGACATTCGGCAGCTGGTACAAGGAGGCCGTGGCCGACCGGCGCCCCGCCCCGCTGTTGGGATCGTTGAAACCGGGATCTTTGCGCTGGATGACGAAGCATCTTGCGGACTCGGACGATCTGGCGGAGTGGGCGGAGCTGGCGGAGGCGGTGCTGGCGGACCCCGTGTACCGCGACCGCCTCGAGTGGTTCGAGTATGAACGCCGCTTGCACCGCGACGGCGCCGCTGCTGCTGTGCAGTACGCACGGGACGCGGGGTGGGTGGACATGACGGACACGTTCGCCTGGAGCGGAGTGGACATGGAGATGCTAGGCACTTCCTTCACCAAGCCAATTCCGCGCACCCACACCTCCGCCACTGCTGCGCCTGCGGGGGCCGCTGTGTTCCCCTATTCCTCCGGCCCTGCAGGGTCGGGAGTCCCTTCTGCCCGAAAGCGCACAGCACGCCCCCGCCAGGGCCGCGCGGGGTTGGGCTGGCCTTCTGGCGTGAATCTTGCGGCTGTACGCGCGCAGCAGGAGCAGCTGGCACGGCGGCAAGAAAGAAGGAAACGGCAATCCGAGAGGCGGCAGCAGAAGCAGACCGAAGGGGGGAATGCAGGGGATAGTGAAGAGGGGTGGGTTAAGTCAACGGATGAGGGGTACATGAACTCTGAGAAGGTGAGCAGCGACTGGCTGCTGGATATGGTGCAGAAGCAGCAGGAGTCTATTGAAGAGAAGCGGACCAAGGCAGGGCGTCAGGGTGAAATCGGCGGTGAAGGTTCTCCGCCAGGAAAAGGGTCTTTGAGTGCTTTGGGAGAGCAAGACATGGAAAAGAACGCGAAGGATCAATCACTCCCAGTGGCACGAGGGCAACGATCAAGAAGCAAACGGTTGCCAGTGAAGGGCAGCACCGTGACACCAAGGGTTGGTGGTGAACAATGGGCTACAAAAGGAGGTAGAATGCAGAATGGAAGGCGAGGAAGTAGTGGTGATACTGTTGAAGGGGTTTGAACTTTACGGTGATTACAGCTGTATCTGATGAGCTTGAACTTGAAAAGGAAATAATGAAAACAACATTATTACAACCTTCAACCTAAATTTCATGCCGTCAGCTCATGAGAATAGCCGAAGTGTGTATTATCGTTGAATGAAGTGTAGATACTGCTTTGCAGTGGCTTGTTTCGGAGAACGGCAGGCCCAAGGCGCGCGAACCAGCTCCTTCTGACACTTCACATCTCCCGCCAATGCTATTTGCTGCTACCCCAGTCCCCGACCCCCGCTTTCTCCTGTGACACCCAACACATCTCACTACCCACAGCCTCCCCAACGCCCATGCACAACTCCCGCCGCCAAACATCCTCCCATTGTATCTATCAGCCATATGACCCTGAATCAATTCACGTGAAGGTCAGCAAAACGATCTCATCCTACTAGACTTCGTCTTCTATAGCTGACTTGATATGCTGTTCTTACTAACACCAAGCCCATCGTACTCCCTCTCTCGTGGCCGTGTTGCCACAAGCATCAAACCGTAGGATCGAGACTCAGCATTAAGTGATCGAGTAGAGAAAAGAACAGGATCTACGTACACCGAAAGCGACGTGTTTGGACGCGCCACGGGCGGAGGGCACGCTGGAGCTGGGTCGCGGCAGGGCGGCGGTGACGGCGGGATGGAGGCGGGAGGCGGCGTGCGGTCGGCGACCAAGAAGAGCCCCTATGCCGTCGCCGGGGCGGAGAGACGGCGATCGGGAGGGCGTCAGCGAAAGAAGATAGAGATGCTGCAGATTCGGTACAGGTGAGCACGCGTGGTGACTTGCGCTCATGGTGCGCGCGGGACGCGGTGAGACGGGCTTGCTGCTCGTGGAAAGACGAGTAGCCACTCAGGCGGGTGGCGTGGACGGAAAGAAGCTCGGGATGAGAGCAGCAGCGAGGCAGTGCGACGGCGAGAGTTGCTTGTGCCTGGGATCCAAGTTCATTGTGGTTGAATATCACCCGCTGCCATAGGTTCTTGTTGCTGCTACTGCTGTGTGCTGAGTGTCCTCCCGTCGCATCTCTGCTGTTGTGCGTGCTCGTCCGCTCACCTGTGCTGCCTTTTCTTCAGGCGGCGTCGTTTCCTGCTGCTGCTGGCGCTGCTGACACTGGTGGCGCTGTTCGCATGGTTTGGCGACGACATCATGTCGAGACTAGAGGTGCTGCTCCGCTGTCGCCCACAACACTCACTCCAGCCCTTCCTCGCTTCTGTGCTGCTACCGCGCCCCATTTCCTTGCTCGCCTGCTGCTGCCTCGCCCGTGTGCAATGGCCACCTTTATTTTCCCGCATATCATGCCACCCACTCTATGCTCACCTTACGCTCGTCAACTCCTCGCCGACCCGCCATTCGCCCAAGTACCATGGGCCTCTACGTGCCCCTTTACCAACTTCCCCCCTTCCCCCGCTCCATGTCCCAATGTCTCTCGCCGCCTGCCCCCTGTGTTGCGCGGTGTGGCAGGCAGTGCTGTCGTCTGATGGCACGCACCGCCGCCTGCTGCTGCCGCGCCGCACCAGCTCCGTCATACCACCGCCACTCGCCACGCGCTCGCTGCTGGAGGCGGGGGCGGGGAGCCATGGGGCGCAAGCACCAGCGCAGGGGGGGGATGTGGGCGGGGCAGCAGAGGGGAGCCATTCACACTCACATGGGCGCGAGGCAGCGTCGCTGTGGCCTGTGCCCTCCCCCCAGGGCTGGGTGGCGCATGCAGGCGTGCGAGACACAGCAGTGTGGCCTGGTACGGATCCTCCTCCCCTGCTGCCACTCTCACTTTCCGCTCTCACTGTTCACCTCTCATTGGAAACCAGCTGATGCAGACCGTGTGCTTAGTCGAAGAGAGTTGGTATGGGTCACACAGCACGCGTGGTGCCGTGATACTTGCTACCTGGTTACCAATCATCACTGCCCTGTCCATACGTTCAGTGTCCGCACAACACTGATTTTGCTACACTTCAACCCCTCTGTGGCTGCTTTCTTTCGCGCGTGGTGATTATGAGCTTTGCGTGTGAGCAGCGCCATCAGTGGAGAGCAACGGGTTCGTGGTGGTGAGATGCAACGGAGGACTCAACCAGCAGCGCAGTGCGGTGCGTCAAGGCAGGGGGACAGCGGAGGGAAGCAATCGAGGGATTTGTGGGACGTTGATGTCATGTGACATGTGCCCAGCACCCATTCTGCACACATGCGGCATGCATGGCAGCACTACCCTGCTGCATGCCTTGAAATCACCCCTCTATGGAGAATACATGCAGTGGTCATGGGGTTTTATGCACACACGTGCAGTGGGCAATGTCATGGCTCCTCAGCACTGCCCTTACAATAAGTGCCTTAGTGCTACTCACCCACTCCCACGCAGTTTGTGCGTAGTAGCGGTCGACTGGTTGTCTTGATGCTTTGCCTTTGTGTCTCAATCTTCTCCATTTCCCTTCTCATGGCGCCGATGGACCACCATGGCTTCGTGTTGGAATGTGAGGGGTGGGGGTGGGATGATGTGTTGGCGGGCGGCTATGTGCAGATATGCAATGCAGTGGTTGTGGCACGCATCATGAACGCCACGCTGGTGCTGCCACGCCTGGACACCAATGAGTTCTGGAACGACACCAGGTGAATAACTGTGCTCCTCTTCACTGCTACGCACAACCACCGTACCAGTTTGTGACATACCATACCATGTATCGCCATTCCCTACCATGCCATACGGTGCCTGCAGTGCCATGCTGTTTGGATCAAGGGGTACACCAATGGTAGTGCCATTTCTTCACCACACAACGTTCCCCGCTTTTGTCCCATGGACCACTTTCACCGATTCTCTCTTACACCGCGTATGTTCAAAACCCAACGAGCTGTGTTGCGCGCATGTGCATGTGGTGGGTGTGGCAGTGGGTTCGCCACGGTGTACGACGTGGACCACTTCATCGCCTCGCTCGCACCAGATGTGCGCATTGTCAAGGAGCTGCCGCCACACATAGTTGGGGACAAGCGTGCCAAGCTCATCCGGGTATGGCACCTGTCTTCCTTGCTGTTGCCCATTTGCGGCCACACAGTTGGTGGCTCTCCTTTCGATATTTTGAGTCCATGAAGCACAAGCCATGCAGGGGCATGATAACAACTCAATTCTCATGTTGTAACTTGCAGATGCAGTCAAAACTCCTCTTTCATCCATTTACATGTCCTTGGCGCGTATTGCTGCCAGTAGCCCGCGTCCCTATCTCAGCCTCTTGATCTTGTCTATACCTTGATGTTCTGCTGCTCCTCGCTTCCCCTTCGTGCATCTCCTCACGCATCCCACAACATCGCAGCTGCGCCCACCGCGCGAGGCCCCAGTGCAGTGGTACGAGAGTGAGGCGCTGCGGGTGCTGCGGCGGCGGGGCGGGGTGTACCTGACACCGTTTGCGCACCGCCTGGCGGAGGAGCTGGGCAACGGCAGTGTGGCGCGGGAGCTGCAGCGCCTGCGCTGCCGTGCCAACTTCCACGCGCTGCGATTCCACCCTGTCGTGCACGCGCTGGCCGACAGTGTGATGGCGCGCATGAGAGCGCGCAGCGCAGCGCTGGCCATGCACGGCCGCTTCATTGCCGTGCACCTGCGCTTCGAGAAGGACATGCTGGCGTTTGCAGGGTGAGCCGCCGCCACTGACAACTTGCACTGTTGCCTGCTTTCCAAGGCAGCTGCCCCGTCTCTTCTGCCTGCTGCTGATTGAGGTGTTGTTGCCCCGTCATGTGCTTTGCTGTTGGCACAGGTGCTTCAACATTTTCTCCGAGGAGCAGCAAGCGGAGTTGAAGGCGTACCGAGAAGCTAACTTCGCAGAGAAGGACCTGGAGCAGTCGAGGAGGAGACGGATTGGCAAGTGCCCGCTCACACCGCACGAGGTAAAGCCCGTGTGACATCTGAATCCCTTCCATTGTCTCCTTGTCCTGGCCGCCCCAGCATGGCGCATGCAATCTCCAGTTCCGCTGAGGTTATATTTGAGTCCTTTTCCTGAACCACCATAGTGAAACTAGATATACGATAGTTCCAAATAAGAAAAAGGATCAGTCTGCTTCCTCTCTACTGCTTCTTGCTCTCCATGTGTCGTTTCCCTTCATCACCTGCCCCTTTCTCCCCTTCCCTATTCCGCACCCTTGTTTCTCTGCCCAACAGGTGGGTCTGACGCTGCAAGCCATGGGCTTCCCCAACAGCACGTTGCTCTACCTGGCAGGAGGGGCAGTGTACGGGGGAGATGCATTCATGCGCCCGCTGCAGGCGCTCTTCCCCAACATAGTGCGCCGTGCAGACGTGGCGACAGCAGCGGAGATGGAGGCGGTGGAGGGGCATGGCAGGGCGCTGCTGGGACAGGCTGTCGACTACATTGTGTGCACCAAGGTACCTAGACCATGCCTCACTTATCTGCGGTCCCATCCCATTGAATGCAGTCACTCACTCATACAGCACTTTCAATGCCTCCCCTCCTGTGTCGCCCACTCTGTTCCAGGCTGATGTGTTCCTACCCAGCTATGACGGACCCAGCAACTTTGCCAATAATGTGCTTGGCCACCGCCTCTACCTTGGCTTTCTCCCATCCCTGAGGCCTGATCGCCGCTCACTGTCCCGTGTGCTGGACGAAAGGGAGGCAGGCGGCATAACAGAGGAAGTGTTTGGGCCCGCTGTGAAGAACGTGCTTCGGAAGATACCATCCGCATCACCCTTCCCTCGCCGTTATGGCCACATGGCCTTTTTTGCTGACCCATGGCCCGAGTGCTTCTGCCAGAACCCAAGTACAAAACCTAATGCCGAAGGCCTTGGGTTGAATGGTACGATAAGGCCACAGGACACATGTCCTCTGCACATTGCTGAAGGGGTAGCCTACACGTAAGCTGCTGTTATATCCATTATCTCAAACAGTGGACCACCTTCTAGTGATAAACATCAACGGTCTTGCAGCTGTCTGATACAAATAAAGAGTTTATGAGTCAGTTTTGAAATAGGTACACTGCCAGTCTAAAAGGAGCATTCATATTAGGTGTTAGTAAGGATTTTGGTCGGGCGAACATGCCAGGGTCATGTCGCCAGTGCAGTCACATGCCCCTCAGCGTTTCAATAAAGCACGAGAGCGCGCCAAAGCATCTCTCACTCTCCCTGAGCTTCGGGAAAATGACCACAAAGTCGTGAGCGGCCTGGAAGCGCAGCAGGGTGCAGGGGGCGTTGTGGCGGCGCATAAGCTCGTGATACGCCACGCCGTGGTCATGCAGCACGTCCTGCGACGCCACCACCACCACCATGGGAGGAAACCGCGCCAACGCGCTGCTGTCCGCCAGCTTCGACGGGTTGCTGGCATAGTGGTCTCTCGAGGCGCCCGGCGGGAGGAAGTCTCGCCACGCCCGGTCAGTGTTGCGCAGGTTGAACGTCAGGTTGTGCTGTCGCTGGGTGTCTGACTTAGTCCGCTTCTCGGACCCGAAGTAAGGGCAGATGAGCACACTCCCCAGTATAGTTAGCCCGAACGCCGTCACTGGCTGCCCATGTCCTGCGTGCCTACAGGCGGTACTGTCAGAAGGAGCTGTTGGCGTTACTTTTTCACCAGGAGCCTTACATGTCTCCGCCGCTGCATGCGTTGCTGCGTGGTGCAGTGGCGAGCCGCCTACCGGCGATGCCAAGTCCAGCGACGGTTGCAGAAGCATGAGCAGTGCGTTGTGCACGATGTTACCGCCCGCACTGTCACCCATGAGCATCACTCGCCTGCTGTCGCCGTAAAGCCGCAGCCAAGGCTCCACTCCTCCGGTCTTACCGACACATTCCTCCGCTCCCATCATATTATCCATTGTCGCTTCCCTGCCAGTCCGTTCCTCCCCTTCCCTCCGCACACCTCCCTGTGCCAGGCACATGCCGTCTTCCTTGCAAGCGCCGGTCTGCTGTCCCACCCACGCGAGAGCCTCGAGTGCATCCAGGTACGGCGCGGGGAAGCGGCTGTGGGGCGTGCGGCGATAGTCCACGCTCACCACGATGCAGCCCGCGAGGAGCGCGAGGTGGCGGCAAAAGAAGTCGTAGGCGCGGAAGGCGGCAGTACAGTACATGAAGCCGCCGCCGTGGAAGAAAACCAGCACTGGCAAACGGGCTCTGTGCGCAAATGGCTCTGAACAAACGCTGACATGCTGGCGAAACGCTGACGCTACCTCGGCGGCACCAGGTGCCGCGGCAGTCCCATTTGCGAGGTGGGTGAAGTCAGCGTCTTCCACAGGGTGAACGGCGGCAACGGGTTCCTCGTCCCAGTCGTGCGCCAGCAGGCAGCACCACGCGGGCAGGTAGCGACGCAGCAAGCGGTAGCAAGTCAGGCCGACGGATGCCCGCACCCCCATGGAGGCGGCAACTAGGTCTGTGCGTGGGAGGAATAGGCGAGCTGAAAGGCCGGTGCGGGGATTTATCACCACGTTTCGCGTTGCGACGCCGCTGTGACAGTGGTTCAGGCAACAAGACGAAGTAACGTTGAAGCGTAAGTGCAATTACGCGACGGTAGATAGAAGACCACATCAAGTAGTCAACACTTTCAGCATAGATTCGAGTTGGTGAAAAAATGGGCGCCTCATGACACACTGACGCACGGTAGTACGCGCATACTCATGTCACTCACCCCGTGAACGATTCGCTGCATGGCGTGGACATAAACATGTTGTCCTCCAGCCATCGCCGCACGGATCCGTCTGAACGGCGGAGGAAGAGGGAGACGAAAACATGCAGAAACGCGAGGACGACGAATATGACGAGCTGCTCGACGGCCGTGACCACAATCATCTGCACAGCCGCGAAATAAGGGTGGCACGGGTGGCAGTGAGGTCTTGCGCTCACTGCGGGTGAGGAGGGAGACGAGGGCGCGTAGTCCAAATTCGTACTGACATACGGTTGTATGAAGCACAGAGGTATTGTTCGTGCTGACACGGTAAAACGTGACGCACCTGCTCACCCGATGCACCTTACCGCACGTCTGTGGATTGAACAAAATGTGAAAACTATACGCTCCTTCTCTCTATCATGAAGCGAGACCTTTGAGCACACTTATTGTGCACCTAATGTAGGATGCCAAACGGCCTTCCTATTCTCCGCAAAGATGAGCGCACTCTGGTCCGCAATCTGGGCCCAGGAGCATTAGCAGCCTACGAGGCTAGAAGAATGAAGAAATGTTGTTGAAAGGCGACACGGTTTGATTGATGTGAGAGAATGGCGAGTGATGTGAGGTGCGATGCGATACGCAGAAGTAGCACCACGCACGGCACCCACTCCACTCCAGCACACCACCTCGATTTGCGCCACGGTGGGGTTCGGTTTGACCCAGGAGATGCTGCACGGTGATGATCACTCATCAAGCGCTCTGTCGCCGCTGCACCGACCAGCAATCCACGACAGGGCCTCAATCCTACCGCACGTAGCAGCTGGCTAGAAAGGGGAGCATCAGGCGCTGCTTTTCCGGTGCCTGCGTGCGCGAGTAACAGTATGCCATGTGGAAGAAACTGTTGTCGACAGGGTCATGACTCGTGAAAGCTGCGAACCAGAAAGAGACTCGCCCAAACCGCACGCCTCCTTCGCAAAGAGCTTGAATGGGGGATAAATCTTCCATATAGGGTCAGTATGCGTTACATACAGTACTAATGGACTGAGGAAACATATGCAATTTTGTATGGTGAAACCATAGCAAGCCTATGACGTTCACAGTAATAAGGGCGTACTTTGATGCTGCACTTTATCTTGACCCTTCACAGCAATTTCAGTATTGAGATGCGATATATTAGAATTTTGAACTAACGCCGGGCATCAGCAGCATCTACTATATTACTTCCACAACAATAGACGCAAAGGATGGCTAGCTTACACGTGTGTCAACCACAGCATGAGCTTTCAACCTTCTTCTCAGGCTGAGGTGCATTTATGTCAATGGTTTGACCGCGACCTGGCTGATAACTATCTTCGTCTGGCGCCAGTGCTCTCTTAGTCATCATCCAGTAGATCTCTGTCAAGATCTGTGTGAAAGCATCTTCGACATTGGTGGCGTCTAATGCAGATGTCTCTATGAAGAAAAAGCCCTCCTTTTCTGTCAATCAACAAAAGCAAGCAATTTGAGAAAATGCACGTCATCTACCCAAACGATTCAGTTCACAAGGAGGTAAAGTTATACAGTCACTGAAAGACAGGATATGTCACTGAAAAGCATCGTTTTCCCAGTATGAGCTCGCGAATTTAGGTATTAAAAGTAGTCGAAACGAGGAGGGAGAGGGGAGGGTGCAGGAAGAAACAACCCCGTGTAAACAGCAATGTACTGACGGTTGAACGAGGGAAGAGGCACGATAAGATAGTACGCGGGAAAAAATGATTAGGAAGGTGCTACTGAACTTCAGTGGCTCGTGAGGGGCGATGCAAGAGAAACAAAAGTAGAGGGCAAACGAACAAATGCTTACCGGCGAAGCCTTGAGACTTATCCATAGCCACCTTGCGGAGATGCTTAAGATCGCATTTGTTGCCGACCAGAGTGATAATAATGCTCTGGTCGCCATGGTCCCGAAGCTCCTTCAGCCATCGTTCAACATTGTCGAACGTCACTTGGCGAGTGATGTCGTAGACAAGCAGGGCGCCGACAGCTCCACGATAATACGCGCTCGTGATGGCCCTGTAGCGCTCCTGCCCCGCCATGTCCCATATTTGAGCCTTAACGGTTTTGCCATCCACCTGGGTCAAGAAAATGCACAGGGACATACACCGTGAAACCCAATGCTATCGCGAGTGAACGTTACACACATGGGCCTGAAAACATCGCGTGCGGTTCTAAGATGCACATGTCCGCACCTCAATACTTCGTGTGGCAAACTCGACTCCAATAGTTGATTTTGACTCCATATTGAACTCATTTTTCGTGAAACGGGAGATCAGGTTGGACTTTCCTACGCCAGAGTCTCCCACCAACACAATTTTAAAGAGGTAGTCATAGTCATCGTCAGGTTTGTGGTGGGCCTTCATGGCTTCAATCTAACGGACAACGGTTTCTAACCTCACACTCAGAAAAAAGGGCGAAATGATGTTTGATGGAAATGGTGAAATTGAACTCCTGAGTCAGAGGGAAGCATCAAACCCCATCAGCCTGAGTGGTGTGGTGGCGGGATTGGGGGCCTCCCTGAGCCAGGGGAACCGCAGATTGCGGGACTCTCGCTCGCTTCCTTGCTCGCCAGGTGTTGGACACAACTTGTTTACAGCGAGCGCGATTCTGGATATCGGTAGTCGGGTATGCATTATCAATATACATAAATTTCTCCTTATTTGGAATGCACTCCATACCACACCACACGACCCGAACTTTCTGAGGTATAGGCTCGGCCGATATTCTCGACTTTGTGCCTCCATTACCACACCCGAAACTCAATTTGCCCAATCTGTACCCAACATGGGGTTTTTGCCTAGCTAGGATTCTTGATATCGCGACCTTGATTGTATTGCTCGTTTATCAAGACACATATTTGTCATTTGTCACATCTACACATGTTGCTAGTTATTTTCCTAGCTTACTCCACTTTTACTCAGTAGTTTAGTGGCAAATGTGTGATTGTTTAAGGAAACAACTTCTGCTTACTCCGCGTCACATCGCATACTATATACACTGCTACGAGAAGTAATGAATGAAACATTACTGTGCACTCCTAACCGCAGCAATTTGAAGCACGCATTGCCGAGGCTGAATACGAAATGATGGAAATGATGCAGTGGGTCGTACAGCTACGAAAGGATCTGGACCGTCGGGCAGACAACATCAGGCAGCAGCAGTGCCGAATATCCTGCCCCGACAGTTTCGTAACCAGTGCTCTAGATATCAGACTTTGGAGTCTGATTCAGAGTCCGTTCAGACTTTTTTTTTGTACCTAGTCTGAACTCAAAGATTTTTTTTATGCACCTTGTCTGATTTTTCAGAGTTTTTTTAACTGACTTGTCTGAAATTTCAGAGTAGTCATAGTAGTGTAGGCTGAGCCTCAGACTTGTATCGGGGGTCTACTCTGAAACCAGTTATACATGGGTTTCCGCCAGCCTGATTGAAAGGTTATCGAAACGAACATTCCTCGAAACTTCTTTTCGATACACCCACGTGTGTATGGGCCAGCACTAACGATTTCCTCCGGAGAAAACTGCTCGAGTAGGGGCACCAGAATACACTACTTTGTCGACGCTATCTCGAGTGTTAAATTCATTGGGGGCTTATAGCAAATAACCCTTAAACTGTGAAACTAGGCAATCGCACATGGCGAAAAGCGAATTGGTGCAAACGAAAGCCTTGTCGCATATGAGTCTCGTACTTCAGCAGAACCGCACATCATTTCCCCTTGCCAAACCGAGTCAAAATTTTGAAGCTGCAACTTTATGAGAAAATATTCTGCGCACATAGGGTGTACACAGTTGAAAACTCTTGCTGCTGCCAGCGCGCCCAGCACATAAAAGTTCCGAGCAATACCGTGCCTGCTGCCAGGTCAGCTGATTGTGAGCTTGCCACACTTGCACCTGCACGAGGCCATTGTCTGATGCCCACACATCGAGAAAAATGACCAATCAGGGTGCCCCATTTCTGGCCGCACAAACGCGTTGGTATGCTGTAATCAGCTTCAATGCCATTATAGCTATGCAGTTATGAAACTGCATGAACATCTTAAAATTTGAAGTAACTCTGACAGTTCAGACAAAAAAAGTTGTGCTTGTCTGAATTTTCAGACTAAAAAAAATAGGTAACTCTGACAGCCAGACTAGGAAGAGGGGTGTACTCTGAGGCGTCAGACTACCTCAAAACGAATCTAGGGGCCTGTTCGTAACTGTCTGGAATCGCACGGTTGAGTTTCGCTGTAATAAGGTGTCAAACATTATACATGTTGTATTTGTGTAGGCTGTAGTGGGTTAGCCTATAGGGGGGTCACAACATTAGGGTTTCATATTTGTACTCACAATCCTTTCTAGTCCATCATTCCTGCCTGTTCATTCTGACATGGTATCAGAGCAGGTCCTTTGCTAGGACCGCTCCTAGGGCCCACCGCTACCTACCTACCTACCTACCTATCGTGCGCCCTCGTGCGCCCTCGTGCGCCCTCGTGCGCCCTCGTGCGCCTCTCACTACCGAGCGCCCTCGTGCGCCCGCGCGCCCTCGTGCGCCTCTACCTACCGCGCGCACGCAGCCCGCTAGCCACCCGCGCGCGGCTCGTTTTTAACGCGCGCGACTCGCTAGCCGCCCGTGCGCGGCCGATTTTTCATGCGCGTGACCCGCTAGCCGCCCGCGCGCGGCTTAGGGTTTGTCGCGCGACCTGTCGCAGCCTTGTGCGGCCCCGCGCACTGCCCGCGAGCTGCCCGCCGCTGCAGGCTCTCGCCGCCCGCCGCGTCGCCTTTCCCGTGGCGTCGTCACCTCCCTACCCGCTCGTGGCGGCCCTCTCAGCCGCCGTAGCGGCTCCTTACCCACGCGTCGCGGCCCCTTAGCCGCCCGTCGCAATCCCTCAGCCGCCCCTTCGCGGCTTCGACTTCGTCTGCAGCAGCTGCCGCCACCGAACCTGCAGCAGCAGCCGCCGCCGACCTGCAGCAGCTGCCGCCGCCGAGCCTGCAGCAGCAGCCGCCGCCGACCTGCAGCAGCTGCCGCCGCCGAGCCTGCAGCAGCAGCCGCCGCTCGACCTGCAGCAGCTGCCGCCGCCGAGCTTGCAGCAGCAGCCGCCGCTCGACCTGCAGCAGCTGCCGCCGCCGAGCCTGCAGCAGCAGCCGCCGCCGACCCTGCAGCAGCAGCCGCCGCCGACCCTGCAGCAGCAGCCGCCGCCGAGCCTACAGCAGCGGCCGCCGCCGACCCTGCAGCAGCAGCCGCCGCCGACCCTGCAGCAGCAGCCGCCGCCGAGCCTACAGCAGCGGCCGCCGCCGACCCTGCAGCAGCAGCCGCCGCTCGACCTGCAGCAGCTGCCGCCGCCGAGCCTACAGCAGCGGCCGCCGCCGACCCTGCAGCAGCTGCCGCGGAGCTCCCTGCTACGACCTGGCCCCGCCCCGCTGTTGCAGCGGCCACGCTGTCGCCACTGTCTTGCGCCCGCCGCACCAACCACTGGTGAGCTTTGCCCTGCTAGCACTGCTACCGTTACTGCTGCTGCTACTGCCTTTACTGCTCCTGCTGTTGCTGCCGCTACTGCTGCTGCTCCTGACGTGGCCAGATGCAGCTCCAGCAGGCTCGTGAGTGGTACGCCGGCTTAGGCAGTCGGGGTGGCCGTAGTGGTAGTCGCTCTGGAGTGCGTCGTTCGGGAGCCTCTGGTAGTAGACCGGTGCAGCAGCCGTGCCCTCTTCTGCTCCAGCAGGCTCGTGAGTGGTACGCCGGTTTGGGCAGTCGGGGTGGCCGGCGTGGTAGTCGCTCTGGCGTGCGTCGTTCGGGAGCCCCTGGTAGTGGACAGGTGCAGCAGCCGTGCCCTCTTCTGGTCCAGCAGGCTCGTGAGTGGTACGCCGGTTTGAGCAGTCGGGGTGACCGTAGTGGTAGTCGCTCTGGCGTCCGTCGTTCGGGAGGCTCCGGTAGTGGACAGGTGCAGCAGCCGTGCCCTCTTCTGCTCCAGCAGGCTCGTGAGTGGTACGCCGGTTTGAGCAGTCGGGGTGGCCGTAGTGGTAGTCGCTCTGTGAGTGAGGCAGCCGCTCTCGGTGCCAGTACGTCTGTTGCCCTCGGTGCAGGTGAGGCTACCACTCCCGGTACTCGCGTGTCTGCTACTCCAGGTGCTGGTGAGCCTACTGCTCTAGGTGCTAGTGCGTCTGCCGCTCCAGGTGCTCGCGTGTCTGCTACCCCAGGTGATGGTGAGGCTGCTGCCCTAGGTGCTAGTGCGTCTGTGCCCCCTGGTACTGAGTCGACTGCAGCACTGCACACCTTCACCCTGGACTCAGGTGCTTCTCGCTCTTTCTTTCGTGACCGCACTGTCCTTGAGCCACTCGCTCGGCCAGTTGCTGTCTCCCTTGCTGACCCCTCTGGGGGTCCGGTCGTTGCGACCTCCTCCACTGTCCTTCCTTGTCCTGCGGTCCCGTCCGGCACGCTGTCAGGTCTCTACCTCCCCTCGTTCTCTACGAACTTGGTGGCGGGTTGTGCGCTCCAGGACTCGGGTGTTCACCAGTTCACCCCTGCCTACGAGCGCGTGACACACTGCACGTGTGCTCGGACGGGTCGCCACCTGGCTACTTTCACTCGAGAGCCGGGGTCGGACCTGTACACACTGACCACTGAGTCCCCTCAGGTAGCTGCGTCTGCGTCAGGTCAACTGTCCGCCCCCTGCTCGTGTCGCTCTCTGGCGCATGAGACTGTCCTTTGGCACCACCGCCTTGGTCACCCGTCTGTGCAGCGCCTTCGGGCCATGCACAAACGGGACCTTGTTGCTGGTCTTCCCAGGGTGCTCCCTCCCCTTCCCGACTCGCCTGCTCCTCCCTGTCTTCCCTGTGTCGAGGGGCGGCAGCGCGCCGCTCCTCACTCCTCCTCCTTTCCCCCGACGACTGCTCCTTTGCAGACGCTCCACATGGACGTGTGGGGCCCAGCCCGCGTCCGTGGTCAGGGTCAGGAGAGGTACTTCCTGATTGTTGTTGACGACTTCTCGCGCTACACCACGGTCTTCCCCTTGCGCACCAAGGGTGACGTCCCTGATGTCTTGATCCCTTAGATCCGCAGATCTCGTCTCCAGCTTAGTGAGCGTTTCCGCTCCGACTTCCCTGTCCTGCGTCTGCACTCTGACAGAGGTGGAGAGTTTTCCTCTGGCCTCTTGGAGGCCTTCTGTCAGCAGGAGGGCATTGAGCAGTCGTTCACGCTTCCGACCTCTCCACAGCAGAATGGGGTTGCTGAGCGCCGCATTGGCTTGGTCATGGAGGTCGCTCGTACCTCCTTGGTTCATGCGGCTGCCCCCCACTTTCTGTGGCCGTTTGCAGTCCGATACGCTGCGCATCAGCTCAACCTCTGGCCCCGTGTCTCCTTGCCCGAGACTTCTCCGACACTGCGTTGGACGGGAGAGGCTGGCGATGCGTCGCGTTTTCGGGTCTGGGGATCCCGAGCTTTTGTCCGCGACACGTCCGCGGACAAGCTCTCCCGTCGCGCTGTCCCCTGCGTCTTCCTTGGCTTTGTCCCGGATGCCCCTGGTTGGCAGTTCTACCACCCCACCTCGCGGCGTGTCCTGGCCTCTCAGGACGTCACTTTTGACGAGTCCGTCCCCTACTACCGCCTCTTCCCCTACCGCACTGCCCCGCTCCCCCCCCCGCCTCTCTTCCTCGCTCCAGGTGCAGAGGTACCAGACCCCCTCCCCCCTCAGGGTGCCGCTCCCTCAGGTGTGTCCCAGGTAGACCCGGGTGAGCCTGTCGAGGTAGCTGTTGACTCTCGTCCTGCTAGGGGTGCT